TCTAACATGCCATGAAATCACTCACATCTGTCATGCCACCAACATCAAGAGTGCAAGTGAGGCCATTGAGCAGACATCCAGCTAAACATGCCATGAAATCACTCACACACTGTCATGCCACCAACATCAAGAGTGCAAGTGAGGCCATTGAGCAGACATCCAGCTAAACATGCCATGAAATCACTCACACTGTCATGCCACCAACATCAAGAGTGCAAGTGAGGCCATTGAGCAGACATCCAGCTACACCCATGAATCACTCACATACTGCCATGCCATAACATCAAGAGTGTGAATGATCCTAGTCAGCAAATCCAGCATGGCCATGCCATTGATTACTCACACCTGTTAGTACATGCAAGGGAACATAAAATTGAGTGTCATTTTCTCCACATGTTGGAAGAATTTTGATGCTTACACCACAATTTGGAAACCATTTCAGCAAGCCACATTCCAATTCTTTTGCATCCACTGCAATCTTCCTTGAAACCTAGTTCCATTCTGATTCTCAATGTCCTTCAGAAGATCAGTATCTGCACCAAAAACATACCTTGCTTACTTACTTGTGCACCGCATATTGAACACACAATGCAATACTTGACTGCTGGTTTGATATAAGTAACCTTTGTAAACCTTCCTCATTCAACACATTTGCTGTGCAATCCATCACAGCACTGCAGTCTGCATGCTCTTGATGCATCTCTGCCACCACCAGAATTTTCTAGTAGCACTACCTCTGAGTGATGGAATACTCACTCTGAAGTGATACATATCCCTTAGGTGGAAACTTGCAATTGCCAAGTTCCTGTTTTATGTGGTCAAGCCACTTGTCCAACAGTTCTCCTTGCTTTTCTGCTGCCCTTTCCTTTGCCTCAGCTATGGCCAAACCTTGATCCAGAAGCCCCCTAAGTGCAGGGAGGTACAAGGCATCCGCTTTGGTCAATAGCACTATCACAGGAAACTATGCAGAAGTTTAGTCACATGCAATCCTCTGTGCAAGTCTTTTTCTTACCATGACCTGTGTCACACTCATTGAAAATTTCTGCTCAGCCGCAGTTACTGTCCTGTGGTAGTCTGTCATGGGGATGCAAAACCTACATCCATCTGTTCACTTAGCCTGTAGTTATTCGCAATGTATTCCTTACCAGATGGCATGGATTCGTTCATTCACCCTTGTTGTGGTTCCATGGTCAACCACAAATTTCCTCATCTCGTCAAACTGTCGGGTGGAACCTGCTTCGAACCCACAGGAGTCATGGAACACAAAGCCTGGGTTACTACGAAATACGAGCTCATGCTCAATCTTATGGACACCACGCTGAGAGAACTCAGCATCAATATCAATTTCCACGAGTCAACATGGCATCTTACTTCCAAAGTGCCTTGCACGACACCACCATCCATCTGAAATTGTTAGATAGGTCTCACCAACCCGATAGGACTATACCTTGTTTCCTTTCCCATCCAAGATCTCTGGCTTTTCTGTAGAGTTGCAAACTCTTTGGAGGATGGTGGTTTTACCGGCATTCGCTCTGCCCATGACCAGAATTCGAAAGCGCTTGATTTTTTTCATGTATTCTTGAGCCATCTCAGAATTGAGACGGTAAGCAGGTCCAGAAGACGCAGTTGCTGCGACTCCGCCTTAGACAACTTGGATTTCACGAAGAGCGACAATAATACCTTGCGGAGTAGTCTCAATCTGAGGGGGAACTGGATTCGCCACATCACCAATAAGATCGCTAGGTTCTGTGTCCCGATATTAAGCATGTCATTTTCGTAGGCTAGAACAATATCATACCTGCAGCCGTAGCTTCAGTTGCAGCAGGAACTATATCACTTGGATCGCTCTGGCGGGCGCGATGCGAATCACTGCCGAACGACTTGAACCACGTCTTGATACGACCAGGAGCCATGTGAATGTAAGATACGATTCTGTGTACTTCAAAATGGGACTTTAAGACGTGCCGAGGATCAGCGTGAAGCCCGTCGTCGTGGTATTGAGCAAGTCCTTCCGATATCAAGGCGCCTATCTTCTCACTTACGCATGTGCTTACGTAACTTTCAGCGTCGGTTCGCATCATTACCTGTCCATCTCGGACGTCGAGGGGTATGCCATTATCCAATGCAATAGCGATTCGAAGTGACAAGCACGCCAAGTACTGGTTCAATGATGGTTCCGTCATCGTCACCATCCATCGGACACTCAGCGATCGTGCCCAGGAGGAAGCCACAGTTCTATTCAAACTGCATTCGAGCCTGCTCGCTCGACATTCGACATACTTTGGTCGTGTTCTCAAAGGTTCGGGTATAGACGAAGGAGAGCCGCTCGTGTCGGATAATTCGCGAATATCAAGGGTGACAGTCCCACCTGGACTTGGCGTACGGGTGGAAGAATTTGTGTCATTGCTGGAACATTTATACCATGATACGTGAGCATTTTCCCGTGTTTCCGTTGCAACAACCATGGCCCGATATCAATTGTTATACTGACGATTGAACTCCTCTCCCCTCCCCCTCACAGCCCTCTATCATCAAAGTCTCCATTCAATCAGGTCGCTTCGATCCTCCGCGTGTCCTCCCCCATCTCAGCTCGACTTCCCCGACTTACACGCTCTCGTCCGAAGCTACTTAGAAGCGATGTTTCCAAGTGGTCCTTTTCCATTTACGCATCCCAATCATCTCGAGGAGGCATTGGCACTGACGACGGCGTATGACATCAGATCGGTAAGTCCGTCTCCGTCGACTCAACCGTTTTTTTATACCTGTATTCGGACGTACTCATGTCTGGATCGGTCCCATCGTGTGAATAACACGTTTTCATACGGAAAATAATCGTGTTCGTCCTCAGATCCGAAAGGGCATATATTACAGCCTCGTCACGACAACCGACTTCGAAACAGAAGAGGTAGAGGTAGGTGAGCAGGGAAAAGTGAACACAAGAGAAAACAATCTGGAGAACAGTCAAGGTGACATCGTCGAAGATTCGAAGACGAGACACAGTGTCCTGTCGCCCGCAGATGTAGAGAGATGCGGGAGGTTGATGGCTGGGATTGTGGATCATTTCACGCCCATATTGTTCACGCCGGTAGGTGCGATCTTTTGTGCGTCTCTTGTGTGTACCCAAAACCGCCAGTCGGACTGCGGCACGCAATGAATGATTCCCCCTCCCCTTTCTCATCGAACGCCCTATTAACTACAATTTTCGCTCCTGTTTAACGCTCTTCTTTCCCAGCCCACAACGCCACACATGGCATGCACGGACGTGTTTGCCGATCAATGGATGTCACTTGTCATCCCCTCCGCGATCTCAGATGGTGGGGTGTACAAACCTCTCGAGACCCTGGAATCCATAAAGCAACTCGACTGGGCAGCTGAGGGATTATGTCCTGCATGTGTGCGGGAGAAAAGGGAAGAGTGGACAGAGGAGCAGGCTGTAGTGTGGGAGAAGGTGGGCAGTTGGCTTGGCTAGTAAGCTGCCCTTTGGACACACCTGAATTCCGCAGCCATTCCATTCTCGTTGTCATCTCCCGGTTGTGTGTATCGTGTCTTTTCATCCGTCATTTGAAGTTTACTGTCTAGCTCCTGGTAGAACCATTCCACAGACGCTACTGTTTCGAGTAGAGGACTTGTTCATATGATTAGACATATCCAGCCGTTAGGGCCTCTAATCCTCGAAGATTGAATCGTTTTGTGCGGTACACGTTTCAATTCAAGTGAAATTGTCATGCATCAGCACTCGGTACCGCTCAGGGTTTCTGCAGGTTGTACCGCATCTCCGTGTCATGGCTAGAGTACTTACACCCAAGACGCCCCCGTCATGGTCACAGATCTACAAATATACATACACGTGTTCTTCATACACGTATTAGAATCAGACGCACCGCCTATGTATTAGGCTCAGCATTCAGCTGATGGTTTTTTTTTTACATATATCCAAGATTACCGTCTGCACATTATCATTATCGATTCATCAACGCAGTAAATTCCTATACGATAGCAACGACAAGATAGCATTGTAGGCATGCATGAAAGAAAAAAAGACTTTGTCAATGGGTACAGATGTGCAAAGAAACATCAGCATGAAAAGTAAGCCAGGAAAAAAAAAAAAACCGATTGCATATGTGCAAGTCATAAGGTGCGTGCATGCGTGCGTGCGTCGTCATAAGTATTGCTGGCGTGGTGAGTCGATAGGTCGTTGTAGTGGGGTACCACTGTGTGACGTGTGCAGCGCGTGAACATGTGACGCATGGATTAGTACGTCGTGCTTGAAATCGAACGACGGTGGTATACAAAGTAGTAAAGAAGTTCGCGGGGCTAGTTGCAACCGTGGCGACAAACAGGAGATGCGGCGAGCTTGATGCAGCGGAAAAGATACCGAGTTGGTGGGACAATACCAGGAAGCTAACCATAAGTAGCGGGCGCTGGCATCGCCATAGACATTGGGAGGAATGCCACGACACGGGCGGTTGAGTCGGGTTGAAAGGCGGGCGAGGCTAGAATCACTTGGGGCAGGAAGAGATAGGAGGGGAGCAGATTACCGTCAGCCTCAATCCAGTACTTCAAACCGTCCCCTCTTCACCTCCCTTATTCCATCCTGCTCCTCTTCTAAACCCCTCTTCTCGCCCATACCCATACCACCACTCATCCCTTCACTAAGACCTACACCCACATCGACAATCCCTTCGTCTTCCATCATATCAAAGCCAAACCCCTCCGGCACACCTAAATTATCACCGTTCACGAGGTCTTTGAGGATCGCTTGATATCGTTCCTCAGTCAGCCCCATCCCAGCAAGCGGATCAATCCGCATGTCGGTCCCAACCCCACCAATGAACAACGGACCGTTTCCGTTGCCATCTGCACCCTCCGCGTTCGCAGATGCCGATGGCGGTCCAATTCCACCGCTGTCCCCCCCAGAATAAGCTACAGTCGTCCCCGAGGAAGACGCGGAAGACGTCGATGTAGTAGCAGCAGAAGGGGTCGCCGAGGCGGGTACGAGCGCATCCGTTAACGAATTATCTGTCGAGAGGCGCGGAGCACATGCTATTCTCGGGACCCTCGACATCTCCTGGATGACCTTGAGATGCATGAGGTGCTTCTGTACAAGACCATAACTTCGTAAGCCCCATCCTGCCACGTCACACGCAACACAAATAGAAAACGCGGTACAGAAAGGAACTCACCTCCAACATATCCAACAACCCTTCCTTGGTGAACGGTTTCGGTAACACATCGTTCATGCCTGACGAATAATACGTCATGATCTCGCTCGGACGCGAATTACTTGTCATTGAGATGATAGGTGTAACGTGATCAAATTGGCGGATCAACGATGTGGCCGATATACCGTCCATCTTGGGCATTACAATGTCCTAAAACCCAAAGTGTGTCAACAGCCGGCCCCAACGGGCGCCGCCGCGCAAAGAGATCAACTCACCATCAGCACTAAATCATACTTTTCCAAGTTCATCTTATTCACCGCTCCCACTCCATCCACTGCCACGTCAATCGCGCACCCGAATACCTGCAAAAACTTGCTGCTCAGTCTCCTGCTCACCGCGTCGTCGTCCACTAGAAGTACGCGTGGTGGGACTGCCCATCCTGGGACGAACGTTGACCTCCTGACTCGTAGTTTCTGTCCACCGCCAGTCGAAGGTGTCGTGGCTCCGGAAGTCGCTGATGAAGATTCTCGGACGCCGGGGTTCGTGGGTGTAGGTCGCACGACTTCTTCAGCACCTGGACTTTCCTCTTTCTCGAACCCCTCCCCTTCACAATCCCCAATTCCACCTACACCGTCTTCATCAGCACATCCATTCCCGTCTCCATTCCCACCCCCCATTCATATTTGGCGTACCAGGTATATCCCCACCATACGTCCAATTTCCATTCGCATCATCAAGCGCACTCCTCGGAAGCAAATGTCCCAATGTGAACACCTGTAATCCCTCGTGAACCGTTTGGACTGTCCCATCCCAAGATGTATCCGGAGGGATCAAAAAAGGAGCATCACCACTCGTCATATCCGTCCCCTCCGGTCTGGTTCCATTTCCCGAACCTGTACCATTACTCGTCACTTCAGCAGACGCCCCAGCCTTCCTCGACATCTCATTCATCTGTGCCAAACTCGCCCTCGCAATCGCGGTCGGATCCGGATACCGATGATCGCCAACCAAGCAAGCACGCGATGGGCCTCATGGACGGGTAAAAAACTGAACCTGCTGCATTGGTTGCATCGTTTGCATAGCCGACACCATTTGTTGCATCGATGTCGCTTGCGGTAAGGAAGACATTGATTCCTGCATGGGTGATTGCATAGATGGGATCGTTTGCGAGAGAGGGATTGTTTCTCGCATGGAAGATATTTGTTCCTGCATAGATGGAATCGATTGAATTGATTGTATGGGTGGCTCAGCAGGTCCTTGCGCCTGACCTTGTGCTTGTGAAACTGATGGAGACGGGGATTGGGATTGCGCTTGTGCCTGTGCTTGTGCTTGCGCCTGACTTCTTGATAGTGCCCGAAAAAGTGTCGATGACGACGCAGACGTCGTGGGCGGTCCATGCGGTCCATGTCCATGTCCATGGGATCCGAGCATGTGTTGCGAATGAGACGCAGTGAGCGGCTGCAAAAACGGACTTGGCTGCGGCTGTTGTTGCGAAGCCAGCAACGTCGCTGACATCGCAGCCGCCGTGGTCGATATTTTCGTTGACATGCCGAACATGGACGGAGGTGGATGCGTGTTGGGAGTCATACTGTGTCCTAGAGACCCTGATCTTGCCGGGGGAGGCATCAGAGGTGTATGGGGACCTTGTATTTGCTGGGAGTTATTTGCAAGGCCAGCTGTAGGTGGTGCTGGTCCAGGTGCGATGGATGTTGCAAGGACCGAATCTTTGTGCTTCGCTGAGGAACAATGATGAGTATACGAACGTGCATCGGAGACGCAGGCACAGAAGACACGGGGTAAGGTGCAGGGACCTATTGCACCCGTGACCCAACTCTCATCTTCTAGCTGCCCTTGACAACCCAACCATTTCCTTGATCCAAATAATACAGAACACGAACGAACAGAGCAAAATCCAAACCAAAAAAGTAAGGAGACTCACCGCCTTCCGCACGCAGAAAATATTGCACTAGACTCTGCATCAAACCATCCTGCTGAGCAAGATTCCTCTGGAAATGAACCATTTCTCCAAGCACGTCCTTGTAACACCTTTCCAAACCTCTCACTCGATCCTCTGACCTACACAGCTGTGTCCTTAGAGAGTCGTTCTGAGACTGCAGCGCCGCAACTTGCTGCTGCAACCCTGACATTCCGTTCTGAAAGCCGGATACAGTGTTCTGCAAACTTGTTGTGACGGATTGAAGTGTTGCATTTTGAGCGTGCAATGCGTTGGCCTGGGACTGGAAGGCGGTCATCTGCGACTGGAGGGCTGAATTCTGGTTCTGCAGTGCACTCGTGTGTGATGCGAGGGTGCTGGTTTGAGTTTGGAGAGATTCCAATTCGCCGCCCAGGGGTCCGGGTGAGCCGGCTGACCCAGAACGACCTAGCGTAGAGGGTCCGATACCGGACCCTAATTGTGCTGGTTTACGGGCTGCAGGGACCTTGCGTTTTATGTTTTCCAAGGCTTCTCGCCGGTCAGCGTGGAAGTCGGGATGTCGGAATGTCCATGAGTGTTCACCAAATTGGGTGTCGTCGGTATTTTTGACCTGGAGTGCACGTCAGAATGGGAAAGACCTCCGGTCCTAAGAGACACCAGAGCGCGCATGGAAGATGCACACGATATATGAGCATACCCACCTTGTGGAAGTCGTATTTGTTTAGTTGCCTGACAAACGAGGCAAAATTAGAGTGTTTAAACATGCGAGGGAGGATTGATTTCGTGAATTCGTTCATGTCCTATTGGAAGGGGAGATGTGAGCAAGAACGAGGTCGGAAGCGAGATCGCGTGGTCGATCAAAGTGATGAGAGATAGAGCAAGAAAGAAGCAGGAAGACCGACCTTTACGACAAAGCAATCACCGTTTGGACCCCATGATACCACGTGTGAGAAGGATTGATCCTCAAGCATCCTGATGGCAAGTAAGCAGTGGATCGGAAGGATGGCCGCGAAGAGGGCGTACTTGTACAGTTTCTTGACGAAGTCGCTCGTCGCTGGCATGTTGTCATCGCTGTCCTTTTGAGATTGTGGTGGAGCGGGTGGTGGCGGGGGTGGTGGTGGAGGTGGTGGTTGCAGTTGTTCGCGCTTGAATTGTCTTGATTCTGATTGGGCAGGTGTGTTTTGGTGGATGGAAAGCGAAGAGGGGTGTTGTTGTGGATGGAGTGGGCCAGATGCAGGGAGGATGTCTTCGCGAGAGCTAGAAGTTCGATGGAGGGACGTGGGCCAGGATGGCGGCGGCGAAGAGTGACGATAGGGAGTCATGCGATTCGGTGGATTGAGAGGCGGGAGGGTGTTGATGTTGGAGCGAGACGAGCTGACGGGGGGCAGGTGGAGCTGGGAGGGCGGGGGGAGGTGGGAGGAGTGGAAGAGGTGTTGGCGGACGTTGGAGTAGGGCGGGCCCTGTGATGGCGGGTCCATGGCGCGGGCTACACTTACAGCGAGGAGAGCGACAAACTCTGGCGTGGCGTGGACTGGGCGAGGCAGTCTATGAAAAACAAACACGGACAAACTCATCCCTCTCTCTCTCTCTCTTCAACCCAGAGCCGCAACCACGTTCCGGGGACACCCTCGAATCCATCTGGGGGGAATGCAGAGAAGTAAATCGTTGGTGTGATACGGACGAGCAGATCGACGTTGCGTTGCCACACGGAGCCATTCCAGTCAGGGTAACCACAGAGTCTAGACTCTATGAACTGCCCTCCCATCCCCTGAGCGCTTGCTATCTGGACACACCCGCAGTTAATAAGCAATCGTACAAGCCAACACATTTGTAGACCTCCAATTACTAATACTTCGTAGATCAATCGATACATCGATAAAATAAACCGTCCCTTGGCGGTTATCATTTAGCACACAGGATCGACGACTGGCCTCTCCTGTCAGGTGGACTCCGGACGGACTTGGATGCATCGGGAGTCCGCGGAAGGTACCCCAAACCAGTCATTTTCGACATCCCAGCGGGGCTGCGAAGTAAAGCATCCTCGACTATGTTAGTTGCTTGGGGTATCATGTGGAGGAAGCCCTCCCTCGCTACACTTATTGTATACCAACACCATGGAGATTAAATTACAGTACTTGGTGGCTGTGATTCGGCGCCAATAACATTATCAGATATATCTCACCAAACCCTACTGAATCTTCCGATCGGCCGTCGTCGACACAACGAAAAAGCAACCAGGCAGCTACCGTCTGAATCACGCCGAGCTTGCTATGTCATCGCCCACCGACGCCGACGTCCAGACGACTGATACCACTCCCACTCCCGCCACTCCTTCAAGCCGACAACTCGTCGTCCTCATATCCGGTTCAGGTACATTCATACGCCCACAACCCATTTACAATATTCAATACCATCGTCATCATGATATAGGATCGAACCTCCAGGCACTCATCGACGCCCAAAACACACCTGCCCTTCCAAACACTTCGATAGCCCTCGTTCTCTCCAACCGCAAAGCCGCACACGGACTCGTCCGCGCCACAACCGCGTCACCACCCATCCCGACCGCATATCTTGCACTCCAACCATATCTACGCAGTAACCCTGGAAAGACAAGAGAGGACTACGATCTCGAATTAGCGAGGATCGTGCTGCGGGAAAAGCCGGATGTGGTAGTGTTGGCAGGATGGATGCATATCGTGAGCGAGCCATTTTTGGAGGCTCTTAGGGGGACCCGGGAGGTTAAAGATGAAGGTCAAGAACAATACGAATCGAGCAGTAACAATGATGAGAATTCGGTCCCTACCAGTCCTATCCCCGTAATCAACATCCACCCTGCCCTACCCGGTCAATTCGACGGTGCCAACGCCATTCAACGGGGGTACGAGGCATTCCAGCGTGGCGAGGTTGACAAGCTAGGTGTCATGGTTCACCGCGTCGTCGCCGAAGTCGACCGGGGCGAGCCTCTCATCGTGCGTGAAGTCCCGATCGAGAAAGGCGAGCCACTCGAGGTGTATGAGGAGCGGTTGCATAGAGTCGAATGGGAAATTATCGTGCAGGCCACGAAAAGAGTGTTGGACGAGGTCAAGCCGCTGCCTTTGGAAGGCACCGAAAATGCGTAGAGGGATGAATTGAAATCATGAAGTATTGTTATGGGTGTATGTATACTACGGTACACGTGGTCGATAGAACGGACTACCTGATTCTACATTACATGCTGTCCCTTGGCAAAAGTACGATGGCTACCGGGCTACCCCCGCGAAGAAGAACACTATTATATACCATGGTAAACTCAATTACTACTTTTCAAAACGGGAACCGCAACTCGGACTCAACCCTGTGATCAACACTCGGTCTCCTCGGGAACTCGTCACTGAAAAACCCAATGCCTCAACATGACCACTCCAGGAGTATAATACCAGACGTGTTAGTACGCACCTAAATGGAAGATCACGAGTCGCAGTCACAGACGTCGACAGTGGCTGTATCCGTGACACGCGACGACTCGGTGGAGGGGTAAGCATCGAGAAGCGATGCGGAATTTCCTTCCCAAGTCCCGATCCCGATCCAGCTGTCCAATCGTTCACTGCCGTCTCAAACACGAACCCCTGCGTCCTGTCCAGAGATGCAGAATAGGTATGCCCCAGCGGTGGGCGTTGGCAGTGCGAGACATCCGCATCGCCCATAGAAAATGGCTCATTTTCAGGCCAGAAGCGCTCCAGGATTTTCGTACCCAGTGGCGGCTGCGCAAGACGCGAAGGCAAACAATCAGAAAACGGTCCACCCACGGCATTCTAACCAGATTTACATACCACGGAGACAGGAGGCGTCGGAGGATCCAAGGGCACATATGGTACGTGATATCCATCATACCCCGAAGTCGACGAGCTCGAAGACGATTCAGATGACCTCCACCCGAAATGCGACGATGAAATACGGCGAGAATTGCATTCTGGGGTCGCCCGCTTGGACGTGCCCAAAGCAGAACGACACCGTCTGGCCAGTCCAAAAGGCAATGATGGTTTGTTTTTCAGTACGGGCATACTTAAGTTCGGAACGCGCATGAGCGTGGAAAACGTCGGTGTCCGGGGCCGACTTTTGGGTTTCGTCGTGTTCGTCGCGTTACCGGATGTGGGGTTGGGGTATGTCGACGTCGAAGATAGTATCTGAGTACACATGTTGACAGTGTCCGTCTTTTTGGATGTGGCGTGACCTTGGAACGCAATGAACATGCACTGGCCTTTGTAGAAACAGAGCCACTGGGACGAAGGTGTGCTGTAGGCTGTCAATCAATACGATGTTGGAGAGCCACACAGAAGCTTTATAGTCCACAGCAGCGCTTGCCAGAACCACCGTGTCCACAAGTAAGAACGGCGAACGTCCCACCACCCTCCTCATCTCATCGCCTATCCATGCCCCAATATTGTGATATTGGTCATTATAGAAAGATAGAACGAGAACAAAGAAGACCACCCACCATCGAACAAGCGAGATACTTGCTTGCCTATCGCTTTGTGGTCGTCATCAATCCAGCTAATTGTTCTCCCACCATAACAATATCATTGCACCTTTTCAAAGACCGCGACGGCATGATAATTCATCGCGGCAAGTGGCTCACCAAGGAAGTTTACTATTTTTGTCTTAATGGACAAAGCGTCATTACCTGGCTGAGTGGGTTGATGGCCAACGGATGGCTGGAAGGTGATCTAGGGTGTCTCATTTTCGCTGGGTGTCATGCGGGACAACACATTGAGATGGGATGCATCGTCCACCGATGGTCAAATTAGAACACTGCACCACCAAAATGATCATCCACACATGCGTTCGTTGGCTGCGAATGAATGGCAGAGGATCCACTGTACCAATACGGAATAATGGGTCCATGCCGTGTGCGAAGTATTTGTGATGTCTTCAAGAGGCGTTCCGGGCGTTGTACAGCATATACGACCACGGTGAGGTTATTCCATCCGATTGCACAATTACACAGCTTGGCAAGGAATCCACCATCCGGCGGCGCGACCTTCGCCCTCAAAAAATAGTGGAGGACGACCATATTATGAGAACGCCCTTTGAGAGCTACAGACTCGTAGACATCCTGCTTTGACCTCATTGCACTGTGACACCTTACCTTCCACAAGAATGCCCGACTCCTGCAACGTCCTCAAACCAATTCACCAGTACCCCGACGCGCCGTACGGCTGCATCACTACAGCCCAACCGAAGATCCGGTCGTAGTCGTGCGTCAGTACGAGCGGTCGGTAGTGTCCGGTAGCAGATCTGAGCACGCGAAGCAGGACGCATTGACGGGGACGCGGTAAAAGTGACATTGGGGGAGGATGGCTTGGATGTGGTAGTGGTTGTAGTTGTGGTTCCGGGTCTAGGACGGGGATCATGGGAGAACGTTGCCAGGATATCTAGTGTGGTCCGCAAGTGGTGACAGCGGCGTCCAGGCACAAGGGCATGACGACGCACACCAAGCAAATGGTCGACATGGTCGTATTACCCAAGTTAGCGGATAGAATGTAGGGCAAACAGCGATATGAGCTGCATGCAATGACCATAAGACTTACTCTCGAAGTGAACGACATCCCCTCTCGCCAACGCAGGAGGTGAATCCGGGTCCATCCCATACCCACCCCAGACCTCCGCTGTGTCTCGCCAGGCGGTGAGTCGACACACACACCCCTCCTCGTCCCCAAGTATAAGTTTGAGTATCGATACTTCCTGGCCCGCACACGGCCCGGTCTTCACTTTGACGGTGTCCGGGCCCTCGACTTCGAGGATGGCAACGAGGACATTTACCTTGTGCGCCCTCTTTTGTCGCGCTTGATTTTGTTCGGTCGCGGCACTACGAAGAGACGAAAGAGAGGTGATGGTGTGCAGGCTAATCTGGAAGTTTGGGAACCGGGTAATAGACGAAGTATTGTCGTCGGAATACGTTGTTTCTTGTGTTTCGTATGTAGCCTGTGGCTGAGACTGCGAAGTGAGGAGGGAGGAGGGAAGACCAGACGCATTTGCGCTTTTCTTCGAGGGTTGGGTCGCCGCTGGAGTCGGGGGCCACGTAAGGAACGTCGTCGCTCGTTCTGGACGTCGACGATGGTGGCGTTAAATCTCAGTAATAAAACAGACCGGAAAGACATGTCACGATACCATCATCGTCCTGTGTCTCTCCGCCCGCGCCATCAGGCTCGCTATCATCAATCCGTTCCCCGTCCTCGTCTGCATCCTTGAAAATTACGTTCTGGTACAGAAGAGATATTCGTCTGCTGGCTTCGTCGAGTGTTGCAGTGGGATATACCAGGGTGGGGTCGTGGAGCGGGACGTAAGACGGCGAGAAGGGTGCCGGTGTGCTTTCCGTCGTTTTCCAGACGTAAGAACTCGGGTCTCTAGCGAGATCTGAAGTAAGAGGGGCACCGAGAAAGACACGGTAGTGCACCATGATGATATCAGGATGGTAATAGCGACTCTTGCCAGCGCTCAGCGCTAGCCTCGTTCACCGTATGGCTCTTCCGGTCGTCTGATCATTTGGATCTCATGGTGTACTTGACAACTTGTGCCTCGCTGACAATTTGGCAATCTATAGTGGGATTTACAGCTTTCAACCAATCCCGCTATGCTACAAGCCATAAACCACTGGTTACTTTTGTGCATGCTACATAACGTCGTAATTGAGGCATCTCTTTGCAACACGTACGACTCCGCTACCAGAACCCATCTTGACACCACTTCAACCACGATAGTATGTATGTTTGATATTTCGGACGCATTGAAACCATATATTACAGCCCAGCTGCATTTACCACGAAGACCTAAATTTTTGCGCTTTGTAGTTGCCTGCAGTGCTACACAAAATGAGCGTTCTCCCTTCAAACGTCCGTATAGCCTGTGCTCAGACCCTGTGATCCAACATATCTATGTATGTGGATTATCAGTCTTGGACTCAGAAGCCGAGTCCGGGCACAGGCTTGTGTAAAATATACGGGTATGGGGTAGTGAACCAGTAACCATGTAATCAAGTACTGCGTACTATGGGTGACAGCGGAGACACGGATCGGGGGAGTACTGAGTTCTTTACCGTTACAGTAACGTCTGCTCCAGCACTTGGTGGCAAGTGAGCATTACATAATATCGTGTTGCGGCTCATACCAACAACGTCGCCACACGCCAAGGGAACTTCCTGCTTTCCCAACTCACTCTCACTCTCTACCGTTTTCTAGTCGTCCCGCCAATCCTGGGCAGCCACCAGCTTGAGGAGGGCAACCTCCGCGTGCTCTCGTACGTTTTGATCCGTGAAAGCATAAAGATTGATAATATTTCTCCCACATCACCAACAGATTCGGTGATCTCGGTAGCCGTTGCGGGCAATTTTTTTCTCGTCTTCATTTACAGGTACGTACCGTTGCGCAATATTGCCGCAATCTACCGCAAATGCGTAATCCGGATCCCGGGGGAAGTTATGGGCCGATGCCGGATGGTGGAGGGAGCTCCTTCACGGAGCCATTTTCCTGGTCAGGGCGTGCCGCGATTCCTTACAACATGCACCATTGGATGGCAAAGGGCACCCCTGAGGGTTCAGACGTTTCGAACGGGGTGGCGACGACATGTCGTTTTGGCGTGTCCACAGGCTGGCCGACTATACACATACGTACAGCTCACGCAGTTGGAAACAGGGGGACTCGCCGAGCGGCGTTTCTTTGGAACAAAAGACAAGGAAAATGTGTTCTTCAGGAACGAGGATCCAGTATGTAAGTGGACTTCCTGCGCGATTCGCGGGTTTGGATTCTTCCCAGCGGATCCCGCAAGGTGAATACTAATTCTCAATATCTCATACTATTATCCCAAATCTCCAAATTCGAGGGGTTACCTGACTGAAGAATTCTACCGGTCGAAAATACAGCAGAGAACATTAACACGAAATGCATAGCGCGCCATTGCCGGGGCTCTGAATGTGTAGTTGCATTATGATTTGGTATCAAATGCAGCTCGTGAGGTCGTCCAAGGAACCTTCACTTCCTCTTCATTTATTTACCGGTCCCCACTCGCCGTGGTCACAAGGCAAGCTGAATAACACCCAAGCCCACGTGGAGTCAATACTAATATAACTATACAGGTTTGTTCCATCATTCCCGACGAGTGTATGATTGATCCTGCACTGGAATTGGCCATTGCAGACCGCGCTAGATCTCAAGTTGAATCCACTCGCCATTCGTGACGAAGTGTTTATATCGTTGAAACATTCCAGGGTTATACTGATTCACTGTCAATTAACATGTTCCGTCCGCAGAGAGTAGTGTGGGGTAATAAAGAGTAAAGGCTTTCCTCCGCACAGTCGAAACGATCGGATAGAATACTGCGTCATACATATAAGTACTATTTGATACATTTGCGTGCGTGACCAATGGTAGAGTTGCGCTTAGTACATTCTACTGGATCCATCCTACAGTCTCAGTCGTTTCAGAATGGTTGCCATCCTGATGAGAATGCAAACGGAAGACGATGGAACACTGCACTGCAGAACTTCGCTTCGGAGTGTCGAGTTGGCGTCCAAGGTGCAACGATACCGTGCTTACTGTACGAGCGTCTCTAAAAACATCTACACCACAAGTAAGATGCAATCCAAGCACAATGTTGTTATTGGCACCACGAACCTGAAGGTTTATGATACACGCCGTGGAATCCTACATTTTGTTCGATGCAATAATATTGATACATCCAACACACGGGGTCCAAAAGCCAAGATTTTCTCCCTTCTCTTCTCTTCTCTCCGGGTATACGTACTGGTAATAAGCCGAGCCTACATACTAGGACGTATCGCTTTTATGCAGTACACAACTCGCATAACGCACACCAATCGAGTGAGAAAGAGCCGAAAACGAACGAGACAACACGTATGTAGCGGTTAGTTAATTATCGACGAAGGGAATGAGCATCGCTGGTACACAACATGAGCCTGGCAACGCATAAAGAAGTCGGGAAATACAGCAGGGACACGGGGAGAAACTAGAGTGAAGTCAGGTGAAGGAAAAGGCGACGGTGGAGTGTACACCGCAGCTTCGAGGGAAAAAACAAGCGAGCGTGAAAGCACAGTATACGGAGAAAGGCGCAACTAGGGAGATCGAATAAGGGGAAGCACGATACCCGTCCACGCTGTCCAAGCACTCCAGAGCAAACCAAAAAAAAACCAAAAAAAATCAAACGACCCTCCCGCTTTACATCATACCCCCAGCATATCCCCCAACCATCCCTCGTTTCATCATTCCCATACCCATCGCCATGCCCATACCCGGAGGAACCATCCCCATCCTGTCATACCGCACCGACGACTCGTAATTCCCACCTGAATCATACCACACCGGTGAGGAAGAGGAGCCGTGACCGGGTGGGAAGCCGTACCCCGTCGAGGTACTTGCACTCCTGGCCCTCATATCTCCCATATCCCACTCACTCCCGCTTCGGTTCGACACGACCGACGTCGCGTCATCAGCATCCACAGCAGGGAAGGAGAGCTACTGCTGAGATTGTTGATGTTGATGCATAGCTAAGAGCTGCTGATGCTGCCTCTTCGAGTTCTCGAAAATTTGCGCATGATCAGCAACAGACAACGGCGTATGGACAGGATGACTGATCATCGGGTGATGTTGCATTTGCTGATGGAATGCCGCAGTAGTATTTGCAAACGTATTAGTCCACGCAGGGACCTTGTCATTATCCAGGGGTTGCTGCAGGCGATGCTGGCCGGCAAAAAATTGGCCTCCAAATGCTTGCGGCTCGTAGGTTGCCGGCATAACCGGGTTCTCAATCGACGCTGGCGGAGGTATCTGCGCAATGATCGGGCCCAGTCCACCGCCACGGGACATCACATGCAACTGCAGCATTGCCCCACCGGAGACATTTCCAGCACCATTTGCAAAACCGGGATTGGCTCCGACGGCTGCAGCGTTCTTGGTAATCGCTGTGGCATTCTCCGACATCATGTCATCGGTGTCGTCCATTGGCGTGGTGGGTTGAGCTCCAACCTCATTGTCGGCTTCGTCGAGTCCGTCAAAGGGACTGTCACCTTCGTCGATTCCACTACCTGAGGCACCGAGCCCACTCAGCGGGATGATTTCGATTTTGCCGTTTAAGACCATTCCAAAGCCTTGCACTATGGCCTCTTACCTTCCACAAGAATGCCCAACTCCAACTCCTGCGACGTCTTCAAACCACTTTCCCAGTACCCCGACGCGCCGTACGGCTGCATCGCTATAGCCCAACCGAAGATCCGGTCACAGTCATGCGTCAGTACGAGCGGTTGGTAGTGCCGGGTAGCAGATTTGAGCCCGAGAAGCAGGGCGCATTGAGGGGATGCGATAAAGTGACATTGGTAGAAGATGGTGATGGCTTGGATGCGGTGGCGGTGGCGGTGGTGGTGATGGTGGTGGTGGTGATGGTGGTTGTAGTGGTTGTAGTGGTTGTAGTTGTAGGTCCACGTCTAGAACGGGCATCATGGGAGAAGGTTGCTAGGATGTCTAATAATATGGTTCACAAGGGGTATGGCAGCGGCGTCCAGGAACAAGGGCATGACAATGTATACCAAGCAAAATGGGTTGACATGGTCGTATTATCCACGTTAGCAGATAGAATGCAGGCAAGAGCAACGATATCGATATGTATCGATCATCGGATACTGAATGCAATAAACCACAAAAAGTACTTACTCTCGAAGTGAACGATATCCCCTCTCGCCAACGCAAGACGTGAATCCGGGTCCATCCCATACCCACCCCAGACCTCCGCTGTGTCTCACCAGGCCGCACACGCATCCCTCCTCGTCCCCAAATAGCAGTTTGAGTATCGATACTTCTTGACCTGCACACGGCCCAGTCTTCACTTCAACGGTGTCGGGGCCTTCGACTTCGAGGATGTCAACAAGGACTTTGACCTTGTACGCCCTCCTTTGTTGCGCTTGATTTTGATTTTGATGTTGTTCAACCGCAGCGCTACCAAGAGACAAAAGAGAGGTGATAGTGTGCAGGCTAATCTGAATGTTTGGAAAGCGGGTAATAGTAGACGACACATTTACGCCGTCGGAATACGCCGTTTCTTGCGTTTCGAATGTAGCCTGCAGTGGCTGAGACTGCGACGTGAGGAGGAAGGAGGGAAGAAAACCAGATGCCGATGCCGATGCCGCAGCATTTACGCTTTTCTTCGAGGGTTGCTGCTGGAGTCGGGGCCCATGACGTAAGGAACGTGGTGGTGGTGGTGGCAATATCAAAATCAAAACCTAAGTAATAGGACAAACCAGAAAGACATATATATGCACATGTCACGATACTCACCATCAATATCGTCCTGTGTGAGTAGTATCTCCCCGCCCGCGCCATCAGACTCGCTATCATCAATCCATTCCCCGTCCTCGTCGTCTGCATCCTCGAAAATGATGTTCTGGTACAGAAGAGATATTCGTCTGCTGGCTTCGTCGAGTGTTGCGGTAGGATACACCAGGGTGGGGTCGTGGGGCGGGACGTAAGACGGTGAGAAGGGTGTCGGTGTGCTTTCCATCGTTTTCCAGACGTAAGAACTCGGGTCTCTGGCGAGATCTGAAGTAAGAGGAGCCCCAAGAAAGACACGGAACTGCACCATGATGAGATATCAGGATGAGGAATATTTTGCCAAGTCTTTCCACGGTGTTGAAGTCTAGCTGATTGAACCCATTTCAGAATGGATTGATCTGCGGCCAATCAGCCTTGAAGTTTCGTTCATTTATGTTAGAGCAGGAACTAATTCGCGCTCTCCAGACTCGACTGGCGGAGACTTCCACGTGTGATTCAGCAGCTCCTACAGGCTCGCAATTCCAGCAGACCCTCCTACTCCAGTTGAGGCGATAGTTGTGAACTCGCAAGACCTCATTACTCCTTCCCTTGACAAAATCCCCGGTTCCTGAAGAAAACGACACTGTCACAGTATTCTTCAAGAACGCCACAGAAGTGTCTAAAGACCACCTCTAGGAAGACGCCATACTCGCCTCTGTTACATGTTATGCAAGGAATAGGCTATAACAAGCAAACACTCTCCACTGGGGCCGAGCACTCCGAGCGCTAGGATGCTGTGCTACTTTGTGGCGCTCAAGCTGGGATGTAACATGTACCGTAACACCCAGCCTCTATGAACACACCCCCATATGACCCTTAATACGCTTCTAACTCATGACCCTCACCCATACACACACCCAAGGGACTCAACTTTCCCAACGCATCCACTTGACGGTCAGTCTACTTGTGTGGCGTCGCTGCAACACTGACGGATGTTGTGTAGCTTACGACGGCCCAGCGACACGTCGTTGACTTCTGCTCCAATGGCCCTGGGACGTATATAGTCCCATCTTCCCCTGGCTCGCAGGTATTCGTCAAGCGTGGAAACACGAGCCTGGAGGCAGAGGCGCGCACCCAGGCGCACCTCTATGCACAGGCTCAGTCCTCTGCATTCGACCTGCACGTGCCCAAAGTGTACGACGTCTTCAACGACGGGAACTGCAACACTCATCTGGTCATGGAGTACATCCCTGCACCATCGTTCCATGCTTGGATCTCCGAGCCTGACCTCTCCACCGAGGAGCGAAGTCGACGCACTGATGTCGCCATCAACGCAATCGCCAATACTGTCGAGGTGCTGCTACAGTGTCCTCTTCCTGAGGGGAATGGGATCGGCCCCGTAGGTGGTGGATATATCCAACATAGCTTCTTCTGCATGGATGAGGCCCCTATCCCGTTCGTCAACGCCACCGCGTTGGAAAGATACGTAAATAAGGTGCATTGAGCTTCATCGTACTGGTCCACCTTGTACTGATCTTGCGATAGGCCTTGGAACGTCGGCCCGGACGGCCTTAGGACTGCGTTTCCATCGAGACCGAGGCTCGTCTCATCTGTCCCTCGGATGTTTCCCTCAAGAACTTCCTCTGAGACTCTGTGAACGAACGGGTCTGGATGGTCGACTGCCAACATGTCAACGTCCTTCCGCATTCTTTTGCTAGCTTTTACTTCCACTGTACCACCGACCCATTCGTGAATGCCGTTGCCAATAAGATCAGTCTTCCTGTCTCCTCGCAGCTCAATCTTCTCGAGCAGGCAGCTGTTATCGTCCTGCAGAGTGGCAGCTCGTCCTTCGGTTAGCATTGGTGTCTACGTCCATCGGCAATCTGGTGCTAACACCTTCGTTAGGTCTCGATGAGAATGGCACCGTCAAGTCACGTGGGAGACGCAGCCGTATCGCGTGATTGCATCAGGTGATGGCCATTGGTACTACATTGGGGGGAGGGAGGGTGTGAGGCATCATGGGGCGGGGCATCAGAGGGCGAGAAGGATGATGTCTATGTGCTTTCCGTCGTTTTCCAGAGGTAAGAACTCGGATCTCTAGCGAGATCTGAAGTAAAAGGGTCAGAGAAAGACACGGTAGTGCACCGACTCTTGCCAGCACTCAGCCTTAGCACCGGTCGGGTTTACTATATGGCTCTTTCGGTCGTCTGATCATCTGGACACCACGGTGTACTTATACCTCGCCGATTGGGTCTACAAACATTTTCAACTATACAACCTAAATCCCCCCATATCTGCACAAGGAGCCGTAAACCACTGATTACCTTTGTGCAGGCTACATAACATCGTATCAGAACCCATCCTGACACCATTTCAACCACGATAGTACAATAAGTATGTTACTTACATAATACTTCAGACCAATTTCACTCATATGTATATTACAACCCCTGTTGAAGTTGTTATGGAGAGACCTACATTTTTTTGGCGTTTTGCGGTTGCCCGCAACAGTGTACGCCAGCATTCTCCATTCAAACACCTGTCCTCCCCGGAGACCATGGGTTATGGAAAACCAGACAGTCACGCTCAGGTACATGGTAGGGTTCGGCTTGCGTAAATTATACGGGTGTGGGGTAGTGAACTAGTAACCATGTAACCAAGTACTGCGTACTATGGGTGATGGAAGAGACACGGATCGGGAGAGTACTGAATTCCTTACCGTTTCAGTAATGTCCGCTCCAGTACTTGGTGGTAAGTAGGTTAGTGAGTATTACATAATATCGCGTTGCGGCTCACACCACTACTAAACCAATCACACACTGCTTTCCCAACTCAGTCTCCTCTCTACCCGTTTTCTAGTCGTCTCATCAATCCTGGGCAGCCACCAGCTTGAAGGGCGCAACCTCCGCATACTCTCTCACGTTCTGATCGGTGAAAGCATAAAGATTGATAATATTTCTCACACCACCGACAGATTCGGTGATCTCGGTAGCCGTTGTGGGCATTTTTTTTCTCTTCCTTATATACAGGTACCATTGTGCAGTGCCGCATTTTACCGCAAATGCCTAAATCGGATCCCGGGGGAAGTTTTAGACCGATGCCAGAGGGGGGGTTCGTTCGCGGAGCCATTTTCCCGGTCAGGGCGCGCCGCGATCTCTTACAACAGACACCTTTGGATGGCAAAGGGCACCCCTGAAGGTTCAGACTTTTCGAACGGGGTGACGGCGACATGTCGTGTCCACAGGTTGGTCGACTATATACATACGTGCAGCTCGCGCAGTTGGAAACAGGGGGACTCGCCGAGCGGCGTTTCTTCGGAGCACAAGACAAGAAAAATTTGTTCCTCAGGAACGAGGGTCCAGTATGTACGCGGACTTCCTACGCGATTTGCAGATTCGGATTCTCCCCGGCGGATCCCGCAAGGTGAATACTAATTCTCAATATTACTATCCAAACTCTCTAAGTTCGAGGGGTTGCCTGACTAAAGAATTCTACCGGTCGAAAATAAGCAGAGAAAGTGAACACGGAATGCATACCGCGCCATCGCCAGGGCTCTGAATACGTATTTGCATTTTGATGATTTGATATCATACCCCTCTGACGCAGCGCGCAAGGTCGTCCAAGGAACCTCCACTTCCTCTCACTTATATACCGGTCCACACTCGCCGTGGTCACAAGGCAAGCGAATAGCACCCGAGCTCACGCGGAGTCAATAGTAATATAAACTATACAGGTTAGTTCCATCGATTCTTGACGAGGCGTACGACCGATCCTGCACTGAACTGGCCATTGCAGACCGCGCTAGATCTCAAGTTGAGTCCATCGCGAAGTGCTTGTACGGTCCATGTCCTGAGCATTCATTGAACCAACCCAGACAGGGTTATACTGATTCACTGTCAATTAGCATGTTCCGTCGGCAGGGAATAGTGTGGGGTAATAAAGGGTAAAAGCTTACCCCGCACAGTCGAAACGATCGGACAGAATACTGTGTCTTACATATATTTAAGTACTATTTGATATATTTGCGTGCGTGACCAATGGTAGAGTTGTGGTTAGTACATTCTACTGGATCCCTCCTACCGTCTCACTCGTTTCAAGTTGGTTGCCATTCCGATGGGAATGCAAACGGAAGATGATGCAACGTTGCAATGCAGAACTTCAAATCGGAGCGTCGAGTGGGCATCCAAGGCGCAACGATATAGTGCTTACTGTACGAGCATCTCTAAAAACATCTACGCCACAAGTAAAATGCAATCCAAGTACGACGTTGTTATTGGCACCACGAGCTTGAAAGTGTATGGTACGCGCTGTGGAATCCGACGTTTTGTTCGATGCAATAATATTGATCCATCCAACACGCGGGGTCCAAAAGCCAAAATTTTCTCCCCCTCTCCTCTTCTCTTCTCTCCGGGTATACGTACCGGTAGGTGGTAAGCCGAGCGTACATTCGCTTTTATGTAGTACACAAATCGCATAACGCACACCAATCGAGCGAGAAAGAGCCGAAAACGAACGAGACAATAAGTATGTAGCGGCTAGTTAATTATCGATGAAGAGGACGAGCATTGCTGGTACACAGCATGAATCCGGCAACGCATAAATAAGTCGGGAAATACAGCGGGGATGGGGGGGAACTGAACTGAAGTCGGGTGAAGGAAGAGGCAATGGTGAAGTGTAACACCGCAGCTTCGAGGGAAAAAACGAGTGTGAAAGGGCAGTATATGGAGAAAGGCGCAACTGGGGAAGTCGAGTAAGGGGAAGCACGATACCCGTCCACGTTCTCCAAGCACTCCAGAGCGAACCAAAAAAACACCAAAAAAATCAAACAATCGTCCCGCTTCACATCATACTCCCAGCGTACCCCCCAAGCCAACCCCTGTTTCATCATTCCCATACCCATCGCCACGCCTAGACCCATGCCCATACCCTGAGGAACCATCCCCATCCTGTCGTACCGCACCGGCGACTCGTAATTCCCGCTTGAGTCATACAACACCGGCGAGGAAGAGGAGCCGTGACCGGGTGGGGAGCCGTACCCCGTCGAGGTACTCGCACTCCTAGCTCTCATATCTCCCATATCCCGCTCACTCCCGCTTCGGTTCGACACGACCGAAGTGGTGTCGTCAGCATCCACAGCAGGGAAAGAAAGCTGCCGTTGAGATTGTTGGTGCTGACACATAGCTAAGAGCTGCTGATGCTGCCTCTTCGAGTTCTCGAAAATTTGCGCGTGGTCGGCAGCAGACGACGGCGTATGGACAGGATGACTGATCATCGGATGCTGTTGCATTTGCTGACGGAATGCTGTAGCAGTGTTTGCAAATGTAGTAGTCCACGCAGGGACCTTGTCGTTATCCAGGGATTGCTGCAGGTGATGCTGACCGGTGAAAAATTGGCCTCCAAATGCTTGCGGCTCGTAGGTTGCCGGCATAACCGGGTTCTCAAACGACACCGGCGGAGGCATCTGGGCAATGATCGGGCCTGGTCCACTGCCACGGGACATCACATGCGACTGCAACATTCCCCCATCGGAGACATTGCCACCCACATTTGCAAAACCGGGATTGGCTCCGACGGCTGCAGCGCTCTTGATAATCGCTGCGGCATTCCCCGACATAACGTCATCGATGTCGTCCATTGACGCGGTAGGTTGAGCTCCAAAGTCTTCGTCAGCTTCGTCGAGTCCGTCAAAGGGACTGTCGTCTTCGTCGATTCCACTACCTGGAGCACCGGGCCCACTCAGTGGGATGATCTCGATTTCGCCGCTTAAAACTATTCCAAAACCTTCGCTGCGGATAGGTTCTTCGACACGGGGAAGTCCTGCACGATCCCGCCATTCATTAAGCTCTCTGCGCAGAGCGTCAGACTCCGACTTCAAAATCCGGAGTTCGCGGGACGCAAGGAGGCGGTGACGGCGCGCAGCGTGTACGTGAGCAATGGACGAGTTAACGATGGCTGATTTGGAAGGCCGTCGGATTTGAGTAAGGTTCGGAAGGAGGGCGGCAAGGTCCTATTATTGCACATGTGAAAAGTGGCAAAGGAATAATGCGATAAGACGAATATACCAAGAAACGGCTGTTAAGTGTTTCCCTTCGCGCTCTTTCCACAGCGTTGTGGGTTGCCCGACGTTCGGCTGTGTTAGCTCGGCGGCTTGGCTTCTTCTTGGGTGGAGCAGTTGCTTGAGGCTGTGCTGCCGTCAACGCCGTCTCACTATTTCGGTTAGTGTTACTTGTATCGATACTGGTGGTAATGTTAGAAAGATTTTGAGGCCCCGAATAGAGCGTCTGCTTATTATTAGGTGAGTTCGGCGTGTGAGGTGGAGCAGATCCATCATCGGAGGCGGGAGAGGACCTGTCATCCGAGGAGGGAGAGGCGGTGAGTGTCAGAGCCATTGCTGGAGGACTGATAGCAAACAGGTCAAGGAGAGTTGAGTTGTACACGGCAAGTAATATACGGGTGAGAATGAGATGAATCCCGGGAGAGCTGCGGAAGAAAAACCGGGGTCAAGTGGAGATGGATTAGAAAGATGGTTACAAAGGATGGTTTTGTACGCGGATAGAGTCGATGCACTGAATGGTGGAGCGAGGACACAAAGGTACGCGAACGGTAGTTCAGCGGAGGCCCTTTGGCGCGAGGTGCAGTACGAAGGGAGTTGGTTCGGTATAGCGATGAAAAAGCAGCGAGCTAGGCTCAAGCGTACTCTTTGGATGATGAGGATTTGTGGGAAGGGCGGGTAGTGAGAAGCCGGCAAGGGTCGCGAGATCTGTGGGCCATAAGACGATAAGCTTGACGAGGAGGACGATGAATTTTCATTAAAAAAAAAAACATACTCAAGCGGTATCCTTGTTAGCGGCGAGGTAAGGTCGGGGGGAAGGGGGGAGTGGGGGGAGGAAAAGAGAGAAAGGAGGGGGCTCTCTCAGAAGACCATACAAAAAGGAGAAGCAGACGAGGAGGAGAAGCAACAAACACTCGACCCCCCTGCACTGGATTCCCTCTTTGAGAAGCAGAAAACCAAACAGGGACAAACAGGATAACTCCTCAAATCTCTTTTTGGGTGTTATCTAACCAACTGTCAAGAGAAAGCCACTGGTTTGGTCACTGTTTGGTCTTGTTGCATGCATAGAGAGATCTCAGCACAACACTGTATGTAGAATAAACCACTGATCCCATCCGCCGAAATTAAACTGCCTGGCTCTTATCTTTGTATGGATGTTCTTGTCGAACGATTCTTTTATCACCACAAAAGTCCTCGCGTGGCGCTGCGGATCAATTTCCTTGCAATCCCGTCACACTTTGTCAAAGTCTGTCGGCGCTGCTCTGATCCTTGTAGGTTGATAGGATATTATCACCCTCCTACGACGATGGGGCAGCTGCGTGATAGTAAATGGCTTCACCCCCAAAGTAGTAATTCACATTGTCACGTTCGTCCAGTTCCATTACCGTCGCGATGGCGATAGACGTAACCCCGCCTTTCCTTCCCAGCCCCAGAATCTCTCCAATACAATTCTTATCTCGACATCAGGCACACTAATATAGCAACGATGCCTCCTTCAGAGATCTCGTTCAGATTCCAGATCACACCATCAACGACTTTATTACTCAAACGATACCTAGTGAAGGGACCGACCCTGTCAGCTCATGCTCAAGGACCTAATAGATCGTTGGTCTAACCCATATTACCCAAGTGCAGGAATAATTCGTTCCTGCCAGTGTCGTCGACTTCACTCACGTTCCCCTACGCGCAGCCGTGCGTACGCCCCTTAAATCCCTTTTTGACTATCATTGCGTTCGAGGTGTGGCCCGTTTAGTCCGCAGCCTCTCCAGCCCTCTCTCATACGTAGGTCGATTTCGTCCTCCTCGCTACGCGAACTGTGGGTTTGTTATGGATTCCACACCTTACACACGCCCCCACGGCCACACAAACCAATTTCACCCTGGCAACGAATCTCTGGTTTGGTGGCCCGTGCCATCTTTTGGGCCTCACGACGTCCGACAGGATTTCAAAAGCTTTGTAAGTTCCGAGGACTAGGCCCGACGAATGCCTTTTCTTTCCTCGGCTCCCGACGACCGCGAGGGAGCCCGTCCCACACTTATCATTCAGTTCATTCTCATGGAAACATCCGGTGTGGGACTAGGGAGGGATCTGTCATACAGCTATGTACGTACTACGTACGTGTATACCCATGCATACCAGGTCCGTGAGACTTTTTCTCTCTCTTTTTTTTCTTCCTCCTTCCTCTTGCGTTGCACTGCCTTCAGCGGGCGAGGGCCACGCGAGAGCGAGTCCGAGACCAACGTGAGTGAGTGTCAATAACATACGTACCCCGATCGTGTCCCTCTGCATAACCCCCTTGGACTCGAAACATCGGCCGGTAGTTTCGAGGGGAAGTATGAATACAAACCTTACCACGACACGGGGCGCGACGTACATCTGAGCCAAGCGATTATGATTGTTTCATAAATTACAAGGTGAGTACATGACAATCTCAAATTTTTCTGAATTCGCCAGTGTCAGAAATGCGCACACATGAAACAAGCGTTGGATGAGATACGGGGTAGATCATGATCGACCGCTTCGCGAAGTTCGACCCGAGGTGCATACCATATGCGTTTAGTCGGTACAGAGTTCCTCGAGATGTTCTATCGAAGAGAGGGCAAAAGACGCTGTGTGAATTCGCGAAGCCGGGCCTAATTTAAGCATTCTCTCTCGCGAATGCTCACGGATTGTGTACACGTGTACTCACGGGTGTATCATCGAACCTACTCTCTGGACGGTCACCCATCGTGTCCCCGTTGGAGGGGATGAAGGTAGGCCTGATGGCGAAGGAGGACGTGGCGCCATCTCTATAAGGCAACGCTGTCTGCTTAAATTTGTCTAAATTCCAAGCATGGTGGTCTTCGATGTGGTCATGTATCCCCTAAGTCGGATTCCGAACTGTGCAGTGCCACGGACTATCACAAATACGAGCTGTTGGTCAAGAGAAGCAGGTACGCGTTTTCGCCGATCAAAACCATCACAAACCATCGCCTCCGAGCCCCATTCGGGACGGAACCCGCAATAGCAAACACAGCCCAGTTGAAATCACGTATCGTCTACCTTTTACAGGACTCCAATCCTGTTTTGTTTCAGAATGCGGTTTAGGGCCCCGAGGGGCCCATCGCAAACCTTCACACGTGACTGCCAGCTGTCGATCGCGACCATTTCATGAAATTTTGCCATGTGCAAGTGTAACCGGGTGTCCGCGAGCGTCAATCAGCCGATTCGGTCGGTGCACCCCATCAACAATGCGCAGGACGCGTTGAAGAAAGCGCGTGTATAGCACGAGCCGCCCACCTCACCAGGATACAGAACAGGTATGCATTTATCCTCGCTTGGAGCTCATTGGTGCATCGTGGCTCGTTGGTCAGCAGTGGCGTGGAATTGGTTCTGAACCAGTGTTGATGCAGATGGCCATATTGGGGTGCGGAACGTTACATTAAATGGTGGGCTAATAAGCTACCCTGATAACTTGTTACTGCATCCGCGGAGAACGGGTTCCTGAATGGTATTAGAACGGCTGATGAAAGAGCCACCATCACTCTGACACAGAAGGCGAACACAAACTATCATTGAGGTGGAAGCGGAATGGCAAGTACGGGTTTGAATCACCCTGAAGGAGTGCAGAATTCAGTACCGGAACCGAGAAAGGCGTCATCGGAACTTTAATGCCAATTATAGGCGCGACCTGGAACGTGTCGACTCGTGCACCACCCTCTTCGAGAAAGCGATGCGCCGTATTCGAGTGTGGATCGTGGGGCCAATTTATCGCGGGAGACGCTTGGGGGTCGCAAGAACGTTCAAGATTCGATTTGCGTGGAATTGCGTGGAATCGCTGCGTCGCAGGTCTCGCATCCCTGCTGGAAGCTAGTGAAATGAGTGCTTGGCGCAGGAAGTTGCTGCCAAGTATCTGCAGTAAAGAGGCCTGTTTTAGATGACGTTTCAAACTCTTCCGACTTCGGTGTGGCAAAAGCTGGTGTCGCTGTGCGAAGTAATATTGAAATCACACTGATAAGTACTCACACTGCACCGAGTGGGTGTTGCTCGGCCTGACACGAGAACCACAACAATAGGCGCAGTCCGAAGCTCACAGCCGCCTCTACTCCGTTCATAGGCTAATGGATAGTACGTCCTGCTGGATCAGGATGGGGAAAAGCTAGGTGATAAAGAGTAACCAGCTGGATGGTGTAACATCTCGGCCCGTGAGCCTTGAAATTGATCATCCATGATTCGCGGGGTGGAGCCTTCTCTGCATATGTATGAGTGCATTCCTCTTGGAGGGTAGAAAAGCAGACGCAGTCGCCTTCATCCACTACTGATATCAGTTGATATGCTCCAAAGCTTGAGCTCCAAGTTCGGGACCATCGCGAAAACCGATCGTGGCTTGAAACATACTACTAGTAAGGCACACTTTGATCCGGTGGCAGAACCGCAGCAGCACTTATCGTTGGCTTACGTGAGTAGTTTCCACAGGAAACATCTTTCAACGTGGGGGGCTCGTGGCCGAGCAGCTGCAGCTGAATTGTACAAACTTGATATTCTTCCCAAGCAAAGATCCAGCGGTCTTGATAGGCCGAGATTCGCCGATTCCAGCGCCTTTATCGCCATCATCTCGTTGGTTCGGAGCATAGAGTTGATCCCTAAGGATCATTGAAGGAAATTTTACTTTGTTCGGTACAGATGGGAAGGGGAGATTGTGGGCGGGGAAAACAGGAGATCTCCGTCTGACTGATGGAAATGGCGTAGTTGGTTTTCTGGAAAGTCATCCCGGAGAACGTGCAGCTGTGCGTTGCATTGCGTTGGAAAAGCGGGGGTACATTGACCCTGTAGTGGGGCCATCCCAGATCTCAATCTGTAACCCGCCCGTTGAAGCTACGCCTCATGCGCTTGGTTCTGAAAGATAAAGACCTTTACAGAAAAAAAAAACTGGACGTAGGAGGTACCTGTAAGCTGTTAGCTCTAGTTCGCAACCTGTACTACAATCACTGATGGCTTGTTAGAACTAACTTTATGTAAAACCTCCGGCGCATCTCAAGAAGGAAATTGAAAAGGGCTGCCTGGGACCAGCACACGACGTGCTTCCGTCGATCGATCCTTGTAGTACCGCAACCTAAGCTGCAGTGCTGCAGTGCATCAAGTGGCGCGCTCCAATGATATAATCGAACAGAACGGTGAGTTTCAGTGCCCATAAGCATGACAGACACCAGCTACCAAATCATATTCCCGTCGTGGGCTGTATGAGGACGGGACAGTTTATTAACAAAACTTTTTCTGTCCAAAAAACCATGCCCGCGGATTCCCTGCTACATGAAATTTCTGGAAGCCACGACTAACGCCATCAGACACGTTCTGCACGTCGCACAGTGGAGCTGTACGACTCGCACGGTGTCCTTATCGACGCTATGCGAATCTAACTTGTTCTTTCCAATCCCTGAATTGGTTGCTAGGGGGCATAGCAAAAAATAGTACAACTGCAGCCCTGGGACCCTTGAATCCGTCGCCTCGACGAAATTCGGTGCTTCATGGTGTGAGAATGAAGCTGAGCGTTTTACTCTTGATATGTCTCCAAGGTATCAGCTACGGAATACCTATTTTGGGTGACAACCTTCAGTTGACCCTTTGCAACGATTTCCGCAGTTTCAAAGGTACCACGCCAATATTCAGAAGCCCACGGATGATTTCGACGGTTTATTGCATGACCCGCATGGTGCGTGCCGAATCCTTGACTTATTTAGTAGAAGAAAGGTATTCATCCTTCCTGTGCTTTGCTAGGCAGTGAGTGCCATCCGTCAGTCTGTCATGCAAATTGATGACACTAGTTCGAGCGCCCGAAAATTTAACCCGGTCCTGATTAGAGTAAATGATTTACTTCGGCTATCTCATGGCTTGGTCAGAGTGATCTCGAGGTCCATACCACAAGCATCCTTCTATATAAACCAAGCGCTATAACACAACTAAACGAGGATGCAATATTGGCAAATACAGCAACAGGCGTTGGTTTGGCTACATGCACGGGATTAGTATGGATCACGAATGCTCAACATGTCATTTTTTGGTCAGGAGTTAACGCATAGCTTGTTCTTCCGGGCTTCTCCTTCATCGCGCTTACTCCGCATACTATACCCCCTGGGGTGATGCCACAGGTGCTCGAAAAGGGGAACCATTTGCAATGTCATCGACTGCTTCGTCTGACGAAATCGGCGAGGCGGATCCAAGGAAGTCCGAATTGTCCACCACGAGTTGGTATGCAGTCCCAAGTTGTTGGAGGGACGTCCCAGAGAAGAGGCTAATGTTGACAAGCAGCTCAAATTCTCGTGCAACTGATATCCTCCCATTGACAACCTCGGAGAACGTAGCATCGCTGGCCTGACCACCAATCGTGGTCAGTTGCTGAAAATTGAAGACAATTTCCGACATTAACGTACCCATCTAATGCTAGGAGAGTCCGACTATGCCCTTATTCTTCCTCCAATGGGGGGCTGAGGGACCGCTTCCTTGACGAAGTTCAGCATTGAATGTACGACTTCACCCGGAGTTCACGAAAGGGATGGTGTGCCAGATGGAATACCGAGTACGACACCCAGTTCCTCTGAATTGGTCTGTGCGCTAGCTCCACAACGCAGTGGCCGTGGCTCCAACGATGCAGTCAAGCGGGAGTACTCACATGGCGTCGAACTTGAATCACCAAGTTAGTGTCCGGTGACTACATACCCGGGTGAAGGGCACTTCCTTACAATGTTCTTTGGGAATGCGGCGGCAGCGTACGGGAGAGCAGAGAGAATGAGCTTCACGGTGGCCTATTTATGGGTGTGAGGTTCGTCCTGGAAGAGAATAAATGTATGGTTGAAGTTGATCGTTGCGTGATTCGATTCTATTCATGTTTCGTGTCCCAACGCTGGCCAGGGATCGTGCACATTGCGGATAAGGCAGTCCGTTAACTCTCCCCACATTTTCTGAAATCTCCAACTCCTGACGGATTTAATCATGAATTTGTTTACTGATGTCGGCATTTTGCCTGCAGGAGAGATGCGGAATAATAACTGTGAACCACTAGGGGTTGATACGTGAGTGTCTCATTTCTCTGTGGTGCCCGTCGATCACACTTCAGGTAAGTGGATAGGTAAGAATGGCGGTTGTAGAGACAAGACATATGTCACCTTCGTTCGGGAGACAGTCCATGCCAACTTCTCCACCTCGCTTGCAACAGCCCCCTCCACACTGTCTTACCCTTGGCTTTCCCCCCCCCTTGTGTGGGTGCCGTCGTCAACTGAATCTGTACAATCACTAGTATCCACACATTCGAAATGCCGTGAAAATGGTAATAGGTATGTCGACACCCGTTGCAACGTGAACGTTATTCTCCACTAGAAGATTTAGCGTCGCTGCAGTGTCGTGCCCCATAATCAACATACTCTTCACAAGGGCATGTATAATTGTTCCTATCATAGTCCATTCGGGTGTCTGTCAATGAAATCTTTCATGTTAACATACATCGCAATCAGTCAGAAGTTTCTGCCTGGGTGGGACCGTACTGGGCGATGTGACATCAGTTGCAAACCCTTTGGCCACTTGATGTCCGGCAGGGTGCTGGTGAATGCTTTCGTCTGAACCGCTTATATTTACAAGCAAAACAGCTACGGAAGCCGATTCAGTGATCAAGCGCATCTGATGAGGCTATTTAATCGACCTCCGAGAGGACATGGCCAGCTCACTACCTCTGTAATGCTTGACGAAAGTATCCAAAAGCCCATTAGGGAACGAATGACGGTAACTGTACAGAGCACATAGAAGAAAGAGTATCAGTAATGTCCAGATGTCCATGGAATGTTAGTGTGTGCCACGCGAAGCCAGTAGTCATAATTTGCAATCTCACTGCTCGTCATGCAATATTCCTCGTTGTATTCAAGGCCTCCACGTAGGGGTAATAGCCGGCCTACGAAAGAAATGTATAAACACGTCCCCGTTCACCTGCAGGGATCAATGCAGCGAACAACTCACCCCAATAAGGGTGACGCGGACAACCCTAATTAGGGCGGTCCTATCTGGGGCTGTATTGGGGACCTCGACAGTAAAGTTCTTGTAAGGTGGGGATGTCAGTTCGTAGTACTCGGGACTAAACGAACCGTTGTACAGAACCTGACCCAAGTCGTCCTTTGAGGATATACATCTGTTCGCCCCGCACTACTGGAAACCGATCACCACTGCTACCTCCTCTGAACCTGTAAGGCGTTCTGAATGCGGCCTCAGAACACCTAGTCTATGTTGTAGATGTGGTAACTTACAGGGCGTTAAGCTTGAACTGTGAGGTTGGTGCCCGGTGTGACAGTATATCCATTCGGGGGGATACCCAACGACGCCCTTTTGCGCCGACACAATTGCGATCAGATGAATGCGGTCTTCATAACTTTGAATCATTCTGTTTCGACTTCTACCTCTGTAGGGAGTAACGAACCTATGTCCTCACTCATCCAGCGCTGGTGGCGGAGAAAGGGTGATGCTGACTTCCACCACATACCTGGAGTATGATATGATGGAAGCCCGGCAATTTGCAAATGCCGGTACGGACATATAAGGGCCAGCGCGCGGCGTCTGTTTGATTGTCGGAATTTCATTGGCTGACTGAAGTTGTGTTCGAAGTCCCCGAGACGTTTCGTGATCACGTAAAAGCGTCGCATTAGCCTCGTCATCTAAGATAGTGATGGAGAAATCATGCTGACCTGACTGCATCCCATACCCCCCCACTCAGTTTGAACACCCGCTAAATAAACCCCCATGGACCCCAGACCCTTACATGTTAGATAATACCCCAGAGACAGACCGGTAGGTCACTGTATACTTACATCAAGTGGCATTCGAGGACGGAGATCTTGGGAGCCATGGATGTTGTCTGTGCCTAGGGGACCCTTGAAAAACAGAAAATTTGAACTCTGTTGTTAACAACACGCGCATGGCCATTCGGGTTCAAACCCATCAGCGAGATATCTGTGCAAGCGATACAAGCCAAGTTTGGCACCAGTGGTGGGTAGGTTAAAGGCAACGACCTCCTCTCGCCGGCATCCTGTGAAGGACACTTCAGTATTAAGCCAGTGAGAAACAAATGAGTTTCGCGTTGGCAAACATCGCAGAACGATATTCACATTCTCAACCTAAAGGGACTAGCGTCATATGAATACACGGAGTATGGCTGCTGCACCCGGGCGTCAGCAGAGCAAAGAAGTTAGAGGGAGGTTTCGATGTGGGGTCCACCAGAACACATTTTCCATTTGTCTGAGGTCGTCGTCAATGATTCATGTGAGCAGAATCACAGTTACTTAGTAGAAATAGCCTGAGAACATTAGAAGAACAAATAAACGAAGCGCTGATAGCTATGAACATAAAAGAACGGTAACTTCGAGATGCGCCAGAGTACAGGCAAACGGGTCCAAAGAGAAATGTTGGAATGATGGCGGAAAACATTTTCCGTGGTTAATCGGAACATGTATGGTTCTGAGCGGGAGTATGCAAGTGGCGGTAAGACGTTCACAAACTTCGAAACGCAACAGGCTGTCCATCATCGGAAGAACTCAAGGTGTGCTCGCCGTGGTGAAGTGACAGTACTACGGTATAGTAAAGTCACGATCACGTGACCGCTCAAGAATACGCGCGAGTTCGTCGACCATCGTTCGTGTCCAGACTGCAAATTTGCACCTTCGACGAGCAGGCCTCCACCTACAACGAATACCGCCCACGCGACCCCTCCCATACCACGCACACTCATATCCACGTGGTCCAGGTGACGAACCCCCAACCTCCACCATGAGCAACTTTCTGGAACTATATGAGCCGCTCGACATCATTGGCAATGGCTCATTTGGAATTATTCGTAAAGTCAGGCGGAAAACAGACGGGACGGTGAGTTTCGACACCAAAATCTTCAATGTGCACGAAGGACAACACCCAATACAACTACCTATAATCATCCGTACCTTATCCGGAAAACCGTATCCATTCACAACTTATGAATAGATGCCATGGGAACTTGAGCGGGAACTGATGAATCCCTCTCTGAACTTTGCAGATATTCGCTCGCAAGGAGCTCAATTTTGAACGGATGTCCGAACGGGATAGGAAGCAGATTGTAGCAGAAGTGTCCGTCTGTTGCCTAGCTCACCCCGTTCAATGCCGCTAACCTTTACCTCAACATATCTGTCCCTAACTGCCGGGATAAAACAGAAACATCCTAAAAGACCTTGATCACGAACATATTGTACGCTATCATGACCGACACGTCGACAGAGAAGCTGGCATCCTATATATCCTCATGGAGTACTGCGGAGGTGGTGATCTCTCCTCCATCATTAAACAAGCGCAGAAGCATAATAGGCTTGTTCCGGAGGACACTATTTGGCACTATTTCATGCAGATTTTACTTGCACTTCAACATTGTCATCATCCACCAAACCAAGGCAGCGATGATCGGCGCCCACAGATATTACACCGGGATTTAAAGCCGGATAACGGTATACTTTCTTCCTTGCATTCACTCCTATCACAACTGATAATGACAACGACAGTCTTCCTGGATGACTCCAATAATGTTAAACTAGGTGACTTTGGGTTATCCAAGGCGCTCGCGCAGGCAAGCTTTGCAAATACCTACGTCGGGGTGGGCTAGTTCAACCAAATGCTGCATGACTCCTTCTGATGCGTTCCTTCAGACACCCTATTACATGTCACCTGAGTTAATGCAGGAGAAAGCTTACGACTCCAAATCGGATATCTGGTCTCTCGGGTGCCTCATTTACGAACTTTGCGCGCTCAAACCCCCCTTTCACGAAGCGAAGACCCATGCTGAACTCAGCATATTTATCAGGTACGTTTCGCTGTTCAACTCACAGTGCACAGCAACACTGGAAAATGATCGGACCTTGATAGGAACGGACGCATACCCCCATTACCTAGAGGATACAGCCAGGCGCTGTCTAGCGTAATAAAAGCGATGTTAAACTTGAACGTGAGCATGGCGAACTATGGTCTGCTGGGCGATGGCTCAAGTTTTCAATAGCCTGCAATGAGACCATCGGCGACGCAGCTGCTCCAGCACGAACGACTGGTACTGATTTCCAAGGTTGTGGAAGCGGAAAAAATGTAAGATATACTAACTTTTACTTGATATGGGAGGCTAACGACACCAACCTCACCTCCACAGGCTCGCGACGGTAAAATCCCACAAATCCGCCGTTGTCGCCAAAGAACGCGATCTATCTGCGCGCGAAGCCGCTCTCGCCGACCGCGAGGCGAGACTTACGACGCTTATAGCTGAGAAGGATGCTGAGATCTTGCGTCTCCACCGATTGATTTCGACAGCCGAGTCACAGGTTGACGTACGAATCCGCGAGGCTATAGGGAAGCGTGAAGAGGAATTGAGACTGGCGGTGATCAAGCGCGAGCAAGAGGTCGCTGCGGCAATGGCGAGGAGAGAGGAGGAAATCCTGAACGCCGTCCGACAAAGAGAGCGAGAGATATTCGACGCGTGGAGTGCCAGAGAAGGGCAGATCAGATCAGAGGCGAACTCAGCAGTTGAAGAGAAGATGAGGCAGATAACGGCTAGAGAGGCGGAACTAGAGGCGGAGCAGACGAGGTTGGATGCGGTGCAAGAGGACCTGGAGGCCAAATTAACTGCCTTGTCAAACCAGGAAGCTCAAGGTACGCCTTTTTACGCATCTATCTTTGGATGACTACATCGTTGGCAAGGCCGGAAAGAGAAGACGCCCTTGGACGAAATGAAGCATCTGCTTGCTCCTCTGGTACAAATTACCGAGGAACATAGCAAGATCCGAGAGAAGCGCCAATCACGGGATTGGACAAGCGTGGAGACGCCAATTAGCCGTAACAGCGCTCGGCCTTCAGAATGTATGCCCTCAGCGATGAAGGGTATCATCCTCACCCAGACCGGACAACCACTTGCAACACCCACTCCAACAGAACTTGCCAGCCTCTTCGTCAATTCGCCCAAAGTTGGACTTGACTTCGCTAAAATATTCGATTTCGATTCCGAGGCTGAGGACGATGGCGAGCAAGAGGAGGAAATATTGCCACCTTCTCCTTCGAAGCGCGAGGGACATAGCTCCGAGTCAAGCCATGCGTCAAGTTCGACGACGAGAGAGCCATCACCTGTGTCTACAATTGTCCCTCCCACGCGTTTGCGCAAACCATCAATCCGGACCTCGTGCAGGCCGCCGCTCCGTAAAACATGCACCTTATCTACATCCTCGTCTGATCTGACTGAAGTTAATTTCTTGTCAGCAGGGTCTGTTGTTGTGGTGGCCGCCAAGTCCACATCGAGCATCAAAACAGATCACGGGGTTTCATCATCAAAACCGGCTCCAACAGTAATATCTCCGGCCGCTGAGTATGATTTGTCTGACGAGGAGAATTTGCCCAGTCCGTTCCTCAAGCGCGTCGAGAGGGAGCGTGTTGGAGTGTTTAAAGCAGGGACCGGGCGCCCAAAACGACCTAGCACGAATAATCTCTTGCGGGCCGTCGCAGCGGCTAACGCGGCATCTGCGCGACCAGGGAGCGCAAGCAAGGGGTCGATTAAGTATCCCTCGTCGGCCGTCGGGCAGGACATCGGCAGTGGGCTCTCGGAAGGCTGCAGAGGAAGGTGCGAAGGCTCTCTCGCGGTCATGACGTCATTTGAGTGCGTCAGGGGCAAGAGATCCAGGTGAGACTTGTGGCTCGTCCTTCGATAAGGACCCTGGCAGAGAGTTGCGCCAGTAGATTATGGCATGGCATTCAGTTCACCTTTGTAATATGTCATCTATACTACTATATGTTGTGTGGCAGGGGCACCGAAGATGTGTAATCTGTAATATAACTCACGTACATTGTGTTCCCACCTGTCAAAGACGACGGTCCGAGTCTTTCAAATCAGATTTAGGAGCAGCATTGATCATTGGGTTGCTTATATCAGCTTGTTCAGCTGTTTTGGGCAACCACACTGAAATGTCGAGGCAAATGTTCAGTCAACGGAGTATTGAACATGGCTTCCACATCGCAAGGTGAGGGAAGAAACGTTGTTCGATGACAGTTGACACCATTCTTTGCAGTTGACAGCGGCCCTCCATGAGCTGATAAAGCTAAGGCTATGCTTGTGTAAGGCGGGTTCATCTTTCTCCCGGGTCTCGTGGCACCTATCTTGGCACCTATGTTGTCATTGATCTGAGGAAACACTACGTCCATTTAATGGGTACCGCGAGTGAGGTAAGAATGATAACTGTCAAGATACGATGTACGTCAGTTATTCAAAGCTTGTCGGAGAGGTTTTTCTGGGAAAAAGTTCCATGGAGAATACTTAGGGACTCCCGACAAATGATATGGTTGGCGGATGACTCACGCAACGTTTTGGCCAACAGGTGACCTCGAGCCGATCCAGAATGACCGTGACATTACTTATCCAATCACCCGTAATTAGTTCCCGCTCTGGATTGAACACTGCCGGGCTATGGGAATACCTTTCTCGCTCCTATAAATTCACCTGGTAAAGTTATGGTGGTGTCCATTTTAGCCTCCTTTCCTTTCCTCTCTTGTTGGACACTCCCTCAGCGGATCTGGACGAGGAGACGAAAAAATGTCAGAAAAAGGGGCTTCCGTTTCTCAGGACGTCGAACTTGGCTTGCCTCTACCAGACCCTGATACCATTCGAGACGATCAGACTCTGCATGAAAAAATATCTCAGGACATTCCTGATAAATATGCCAAATATGCCGGCGAGGCCCCTGATGGCGGGCTCAAAGCCTGGTCGGTTATCGTGGCGTATGTCTTCAGTGCTCTTCCTTGTTCTTCGTCTTGATAAGTATATGTGTAGGGCGGTGCTGACGACGTTTTGCACGTAAGTGTGTTTGTCCACATGATCATGGTCATTATCGCATGTGGAGCTCACTATCTATTCAGCTTTGGGTATGTCAATACATGGGGCGTGAGTATTACACTCTGTCAGCCATCTGTTGGCTTATTTTTTATCGGCGCGCAGATCTTTCAAGATTATTACGAGCGGGTTCTTCTACCCGACCAAAGTCCATCTGCTATGTGAAATCATCTTTTTCATTGATGTCTTCATCGCGCTAACCGAATTCGCACCCAGAGCATGGATAGGATCAGTACAGGCAGGTCCCGTTTCAGCTCTTTCGATATCGTCAACGCTCACGTCCCTTATATTGTTGTGGCGACTGCAGTACACGCTCATCTTTCTTCCGGGGCTCGTGACGGGGCGACTGTTCGACTTGGGACATTTCAAGATTCCTTATTTCATCGCCAGTTGCGGGCTTATAGTGTGCACGTTCCTCACTGCAGAGTGCAAGCAATACTGGCAATTTTTCCTTGCACAGGGCCTCTTCACGGGTGTGAGCGCTTCATGTTCCATAAAACTATTTGTAACTGGTTTCACAACCGCTTTCGACACAGTTATTCAGCGGGATCGCCTTCTCGCCAGCCGTTACCGTCGTATCTCATTGGTTTTCCAAGAAAAAGGGGTTGGCCCTTGGCATTACGGCTACTGGCTCGTCACTTGGGGGAACATTATTCCCCATCGTAGGCCAAAACCTTATACCCCTTGTAGGGTATGTTCTCATTTCGTCTCATCGGCGGATATGTTTGGTTAATAGGAGTTGTCAGGTTCAAGTGGACCGTTCGTGTGTTCGGATTTATGACGCTCGTCGCCCTCGGGATCGCCAATTTTGTGAATGAGATACGCTTATGAAGTCGTTTCTGTTATCCTGCTCATGCGAGGAACCTAGGTCATAGATAGACGACTGCCCCCTATGAACGTCCAGGGTGGACTCTTCAACTTGTCCGCGTTTCGAAACATAGCATACACTATCTATTGCATTTCTGGAATCCTTTGTTTCCTCGGACTCTACACTGGTGAGTTATACCTTTTTGCACACCCTCACAGGGGTGGAAGTGTGGAATATGATTGTGACTAACTAACTTCATCTACAGCATTGACTTATTTACCTGCCAGTGCTACGACGGCGGGCGTGTCGAGTAACTTTGCATTCTACCTGGTCGCGATCGCGAACGCAGCATCCGGGTTCGGCCGCTTGTCTGCTGGCTGGCTCGCCGATCGCATTGGCAAGTACTACGCACTTCTTCGCAATCTAGATCTGACCATAGAACACAGGTCCTCTCAACGTCATGATACCATTTACAGGCCTGGCCGGTATTCTCACCTTTGCTTGGCCATACGCTTCGAGCCAAGGGGTACTGATTGCCATTTCGGTGATCTATGGGTACGTATTCCTCTCAACATGTCACATCATATTTAACAATTATTATTGCAGCTTCGCTTCTGGGACATATGTCTCTCTCCTTCTCGCTCCCCCTATGGCGATGGGCGACGTGGGTGACGTGGGGCGACGCGTGGGGATGTTTTTGACTATTGCGGCGCTTGGTACGTTGGTGGGCACGCCGATATCTGGTGCGATCAATGCACGGACCGGCGATTTCAAAGATTCAGGGTTCTACGCTGGTGAGTCTCCGCCTATCCATTACATCTCCCTTTTCTGTTGTGTTCCTCCTTTACATTCGTGATCTACTCCTTCCTGTTTATTTTTGGGGCATATCGATGCTTCAGTGATGATCCATTAACTGTCGCAGGTGGTGCTGTCATGTGTTCAGTCTTGCTGCTCCTTGTAGTACGATATCTTCAACTCGGACGGCTATACGGGAAGTGTTAGTGTCTTACGGGTACCGCAAGCACCCACGTCGTGCTGTGGATGACTGGATACGATGGTACGCATGGCCGGCGCTCAGCATGCTTCGTCGTGCGGACGCAGATTTCTTGGGGTGGAGGAAGAATGAATACCTTTATGTCGGTGTGGCCTGACATAACGTAATGTCACATAAGGGAACAGGATCCCATCATTTGATGGGTGCGTAACAATAGGAATATACAAGTCAGTTGTGTACAAAAATGTAACCAGACGTCAATGATACCTATCCCCATTATCGGATTGTGAACGGTCGGGTCCTCTGAGTCGGTGATCAGTAAGCAACTTGGAGCGGGTTCGCAGAGACAATCCTCAGATCAAATCGGAGATCGCAACCGTAAGCTGTTATATTCCATCTCCATCAACGTGAACCACGATGTCCCTGGCATGGAAAGAGCAGAAAAGCCAAGCGCTCGGCGATTTCCTGCAGTGACTCTCGACGTCTTCTCCATTAGTCTCCTTTCCAAGGAATACTGAGTGACAGGTTCTGTGAATGTTTCAGCCATTGGATGATTAAGAGACAGAAACAGACAAGGCCATTCCCTTGGGTGTATGCAAAATGCTACACTCACCCGTGGGAGCGGCCCGGTGCGGTGTATAGGTTGTGAAACAGTGCACAAACTGCACCTACCACCGATGAGTCGTGAGGAACAGGCATCGGTACTAAGGGATGACAGTGATGACCTCCACATGCCACCGACATACACACTCGTCGCCAGAAGCGACACTTCGACTTTTAACTTCAACCTACTGGTGGACATTGGCGAGCTCGGTGTTCTTGAAGATACCTAATTATTAGGTATCCTAAGACACAATCTCCGCGCACCATTTGCCGCATATCAGAAAATGACGATGTGGATGTTTAGTTTACTCATCGTTCGCGGGGAAGTTGATTAGCACTGACCCAGGCACCGATCGTGGGATTCGTGCCTGTGATCTGGGGAAGCGGGATGCCAAAGGATACGTTCAACCAATCTCTGACACAAGTTACGACACTTGCACTCCTCACTTGACGCTGGTGCTCGTAAGTCTTCATATCCAGATCAATGCTATTGTCCGCCCGAGTTGCAAAATCTAGAAATGCTTCGACAATAGCTCATACATAAAAGTAAAAAAAGTGCCAGAGCCATGCCGGTGCAAAGAATTAAAAATGGGACAGAGTTGCAAAAGTTCCCACCGGCGTGCAAAGCTGGTTTTTGCAACTCCGGGGAAATGATCTACATTGAATGCCTTTCGGTGAGCCAAAATATGCTGGAATATCTAAAGTTTCCAAATAAAGAAGGTATACCAGCAAATATCGTCACTACGAGGCGCACGCTTTCAACCAGCCATCGAACCCCGTCACATAGTAATCTACGATGCCCTTTGCAGGAACTGCAGTTTCAAACACGCTCGCCGATGCAAACATCCCTGCTCGCGCAAACCCATCCACCATGACGCTCCCCCACACCAACAACCAAGCCATCGTCCACACTCTCCCCATCAACCCACCCACTTGCCGTCCCGTCATCCGTGTGAACACATGCTCGAAGATGATGCCGACACCCATCATTCCGAACGAGAGGATCATGCACCACCATTCGACGTTCTGATTGATCATGACTACCACGATGTTGTGATAAATCCCCGATCCAAGGAAGGTTCCAACCACATATCCCATATGTCCGAATAGAGACCCCAAAGGCCACCCACCAACTACGATAAATGTCCGCCTGAACAATTGATGCCACCTATAGCCCCAAAAATCGCGCAACGAGTCTGCTTTCCAAGGTTTGTCGAATACAGGAGGCCACTGCGCAGGGTCTTGTTGCAACACAGTGACGCCGAAGAATGTACCAATGTCATAGTTCATTTGCATGACTGCGTAGATAGCAAATGCAACGAGGACGGAAAGGATACTGGATCGGATGTATCGGATCAGAAGGGGAAGTGTGGCGTCAAAGATGGTGCCTCCGCTTAGAACAGTGAAAGTCTCGGGCGAGAACGCTTGTACAGCAAGGTGAATTACGCCACAAACGAAACGGTGAAACCAAGCGGAGAGAAGGATGTATATTATGAACCATAGGCGTGAAGTGGGACGTTTGTCAGGAGGGAAACGTAGGCTTTTGGACCAATTCCAACCGACGCCACGCAAGTTGGTGGAGAGGTCAAGTGCATCCATGAAAATTGATGGGGAGGAACCAGAAGGTCGGAGGTGCCGTTTGAGCGGGTCCTTTTGGAGTGTCCATTCGAGCATGCGGATGACGAAGCTGAACATGAGGAGCTATATCAACAGATCCGAAATTGGATCCAAAGACGACGTCCATCAGACTAAACACGACGTGAAGGGGGAAGATGTATCATACCGCAAAGTCAAGATTCAAAACCGTCCGCTGAGGATTCCCACCTGTAAAATCTACGTAAACGGCAGCACGAAAAGCCAGGAGAGCGATGAGTGGCCACAGTGCTATACGTAGCATACGGGTTCCGGGGAGAATGACCAAGAGTGCGACGACAAGGTAAGCAAGACATGGAGGTAATGTGTACGCGAGAAGTGTGTACCCATCGAATGGAAGTCTCTCTGACACGGGTGGGACGCGGAAGATGTCGGTGGGTAAAGTCAGGAGAGACGTCCAGGACATCGGTATCGTTTAACTGGTGTCGTCGATGGACGATGGAGGGGCGCTGTTCGGGTGGCTCGTCGTCGTAGTTTATATAAGTAGCAGACTCTTCAAACTCATCCGCAAGCGCTCAACTGAAACTTCTGCACGGGCTTTTAGTAATTGTCCGGAATGACTTTCCAGTATAAAGAATCACTGCGGAAGCCTTGGTTGAGTCTACACTGATGATGTGGACAAGAAGCATTGGGCCTTTAGATTGGTTGGTTGCACACTGCAGCGACATGCACGTGTAACTGGGTGCAGTACACGATTAATGATACCTAGCCACCTGCTCGTTTTTCTCGGAATCACAGGCACAGATAAACTGTTCAAAACATAGCCATGACACTACGATAGAATAAACCGTTAGAAATTCCTTCGTATGCAAGTCGGAGATCGCCTCAAAGTACTAATTGCAAACGAACAGCTGTCCCAATAACGACGCACAGAGGAAGTCAAAGGTATTCCTCCAAAAGGGTGCCAAGTAGGTGATCGAGTGTCAACATGTCAACCCCGGCGTCAACTGGAATTCGATACGGCATAGTCTCAATGACAGGATTACAAACAGTTGTTATTCTGCGGGTACGAGAACGCACAGTTAAAAATGGCTAGATGCGATGTAACGACGTAGCTGCAATATTGTGATGGAGCTCCTTGGTGTTGGCCGCCTTGCCTTGTCGATAATATACAAAGCAGCAAAGGAATTATGGCTGACATCCATAAGAAATCTGCAGCTTGCCTGCGGTCTAAGTATTAGAGAACAACACTCTCATGGAATCGGCACAGCTTACTGAGGCTGGTTAACTTGAAGCTTCTGGTTTACGCTTCAAAGTGGGACCTCGCCGTCAATATCCGTAAACAGGTCCCCGGAGATCAATCCTCTCCCGACCATCGCTTCCAGAAGATCCCTCGTCCAAATCCTGCAACTATTCACGGTAAATTTTTTCTCGAACTTCACGTCCATCGCAAGCTGGAGGATTTGGTCCCGTTGTGCGCGCGAGAACCTGCCAAGTGTAATTTGGAGGTTCGCAGTGCGGGGTTCCCGAGACCGCACGACGACTGGTGCATAGTAATTATAATTCCCCGGCTGACCGGTCAGCTGGACAACCTGCGTGATTGGTACATCTTCTGTCAGTTCATCATTCAACCACCAAAGGAGGACGTGGCGGTCTCTAATCTCCGAATACGTGAGACCAGCGGCTTGAAAATAGACATCTTTAGTGCTATCATCGTCTGGGAAGCTGTCATATACGCTTTGCATTTGACATGGAGGTGCAGCCATCGCTACCGAGGAAACAGAGTCAGAAATATATTGTAGTTTATGAAGGAAGGCTCACCACAGCGGATTTTGGAACTTGAAGGTTTGGAGAAGAAATGTACTAAACTTGAAGACTCCACCTTCCAGATGTGATTGGGTCTTTATACCGTCGGATATGCAGAAGAACAAAGGGAAGAACAATATGCAATACTTAAATTGACGTTTCCCGTCCGTCGCGCTAGTTTCACCACATGCTACTCAACGAAAGCCTGTGGATGCCTTTGGCTACCGGAGTCCGACCTAGACTGAATCCTTCCTATCGCACGGTCCTGATTCCAACCGCTTTTCCCCCTCCCAAGTTGCTCCGAAGCATGCTTTCAAGTCTGTGAGGGAGTTTATCAATCACGATCGTTGGATGATCAGACTCTTCTACCTGGAAATGTTCACAGAGAATCTCGTGTCTCATTCCTCAAAACGCAGTACCCATACGCTTCGCGCGCGCGGGTTTCCCAGGAACATTATTGTACAAGCCTCCACTGTGTTGATCGGTGGACAGAGTATTAGAAATACTGCTATATGCACGGCACAAGCTGGATGACACCTGGGTGTGTTATAAAGAATCTTTGTCGACTCATTTTGTTACAGTCGAATAACTCGGGCGCGGCAGCATTTGACAGACAAACGTGATATCGAGCGTCAACTTGGGACCGATGTCCTCCAGAAGTGCGGTAAAGAAATCGAATTTGAACTAGAAATGCGGACTTTATAGGTACAGAGTGTCCTTAATCAGTTGACACCATGCATTAGCTATGGGAGCTCAAGCGCTCAGATTCAAGCACGATGGCACTCGAGCCATAAGATTAAGTATTGTTAGACGCAGTCAGTTAATCTTTGCAACAAATCGGCCTGGAGGCCTTGCTTCGCTACTCGCTGGATGAAGACAAAGGATACGGGAGCCATAATATACTCCAACTCACTGTACATTCGTCGAGCGCTGCAAGTTGCGACGCTCATAGGACACTAACACTTCCCGCACAACTGTCCAAGGTGGAGATATCGCACCACGAAGAGCAACAGAACTGAAAACATGACAATGCCGCCTGCAACAGTCAACAAAATGTCACACTGGGCATTGATGTGCCTCCGGAAATAAACAGGAACGACGAGCAGAGCGCGAATGCGATGGTAACGAGAAAACAACACGAAAGGGACCCACCTGCGTAGAACCCTGGATCTTTGAACCCCCCGGTCCGAGCAATGATCGCGCCCGAAATCGGCGGCCCTGCCAACATACCGAGTGCTGCAATAGTCATAAACATCCCCATCCGTCGTCCCACGTCGCCCACATCGCCCATTGCCATAGGGGGAGCGACGAAGAGGGAGACATATGTTCCAGAAGCGAACCTGAGAGGACATGTGCATGAAACATGATGTGATGTGATCCAGCAGGAGCACGCCGTACCCGTATATCAGCGATATTGCAATCAGCTCCCTTTGGCTCGAAGCATATGGCCAAGAGAATGTGAGAATACCGGCAAGACTTGTAAATGGTATCATGGCATTGAGAGGACCTGCGTTCTGAAAATCAGATTTAGATTGCAAGAAGTATGCATTACTTACCGATCTGATCAGCAAGAAGGCCGGCCGATAATCGCCCAAATCCAGATGCTGCATTCGCAATTGCCACCAGGTAGAATGAAAAGTTGGTCGATACGCCCACCGCCGCAGCACTGAGGGATAAATAAGTCAATGCTGTAAATAAAGTTAGTTGGTCACGATCCGATCACGTTGCATCCTTGCACCCCCAGGAGAATGCGTGAAAAGGCTTGACTCACCGGTATATAGTCCGAGGAAACAAGCCATCCCAGAAATACAGTAGATGGTATATGCTGGGTTTCGAAATGCGGTCAAGTTGAGGAGTCCATCCTGGACGTTTGCAGGGGGCAGTCGTCTATCTATAGTCTAGGCGTCTCGTGTCAGTGAGGCAGAAGGAGCAACTTAAGAAGTGCATCTTACTCACAAGATTGGCAATCCCGAGGGCGACGAGCATCATAAGTCCGAATGTGCGAACGGTCCACTTGAACCTGAGAATTGCTATTAACCTAACGTATCACGCGATGAGACAAAATGAAAACACACCCTACAAGGGGTAGAAGGTTTTGGCCTGTGATGGGGAACAATATTCCCCCGAGCGAAGAGCCGATGGACACAATGCCAAGGGCCATCCCTTTTTTCTTGGAAAACCAATGAGATACGACGCTAACGGCTGGCGCGTAGATAATCCCACTGAACAACTGTCAACAGGGTTTATGAAGCACATCATCAATGACCTTGTAGAACATGAAGCACTCACGCCCGTGAAGAAGCCCTGTACGAGGAAAAATTGCCAATAATGCTTGCATTCTGCTGTGAGGAACGTGCACACTATAAGCCCACAACTAGCGGCGAAATATGGAATCTTAAAATGACCCAAGTCGAACAATCGTCCTGTTATGAGCCCAGGAAGAAAGATGAATGCGATCTGGGGTTACCACGATGGAACCAAAAACATGAGCGGTGATGACATTGAGCCTTGAAACGAAATGGGACCTGCCTGTACTGATCCTATCCATGCTCTGGGCGCAAACTTAGTTGGCATGATGAAAATACTGGTGAAAAAAAGGCGTCCTCACATAGTAGATGGACTTTCGTCGGGTAGAAGAACATGCTCATAATAATCTTGAAAGATCTGCAAGCCGATAAGCAATAAGGGAGTAGATGACCAACAGGTTGTCATACTCACACCCCACGTACTATTGACATACCCCAAACTGAATGTGGATCAAGCACCGTATGAGACGGAAGCTGACGATAATCATTTGGAGTACACTTACCTGCAAAACGTCGTCAGCATCGACCTATATTCATATACGCATCAAGGCAAAAACACGATGGAGCACTACAAATACCTACGCCACAATAACCGACCAGGCCTTGAGCCCTCCATCAGGGGTCCCACCAACATATTTGGCATACTTGTCAGTAATGCCTTGAGATGATCTCACATGCAGCTCCTGATCTCCCGTAATAGTATCGGACCTTGGAGGGGACAAACCAGGCTGAACGTCCGGAGAACTGGTGGTCTTCTCATGTAACATTATTTCGTCTGCTCAACTATATCCACCAACGGCGTGTCGAGAGAGGAAAGCAACGGAGGGTAGCTGCTAGAATGGACACTACCATATCTTCGCCAGGCGAATTTATAGGAGCGACACATTTCCCAGCAGTGCTGATTCTTGAATGCATGTGCCGTGATGCTCACGGTCATGGTCGTCCGGCTCCTCGGAGGTTACCTTTTAGCTATGTATAGGGAGCCACCACACCTGGCAGAAGGATGAACCTGCCCACAGTATATACGAGGTCACGTCATGAAATAACGTTTCTTCCCTTACCTTGGGATATCTGATGGAAGCACTTCGAAACGGGCATCTCGATGCAACCCAATTGGTCGATCGTTTTGTGAACTCTACTGCGACCGAACCCCAATGACTGTCAGTCCTTCTTACTCTTTGTTTGGGTAGTATATTAAACAATAAGTTTTACCTTTTGATGGTAGTTTGGATGGAATGCTTAGCTTGGTGCAGTGTAGAGATATTGAGCTCGGCGCTGTGATTATGACAAGTACCACTTTGGACTTCCTGCCGCAATATCCCCCCGCCACCTGCAGCATGCCGGAAAATGATAACATGGATGTACTTACTGTATTTCATTCGTGGAAGCATTCGATCATACTAGCCTGAGGATCGACCACCAAACGTTCACCGAAACTTTCCCGAATTGGGGGTGAAACCGCACTCCACTCCGGCCCTTATGCTCCAAAAACTTCTCTTCTCATGTCGCATCGAGTCGGCTGGTCTCATCGGCTTCGGAATGGCATCGTGGATTCGTATGTCTGAAGTGGATTTGAGCTGGTATGCTGCAGCTGCCCACAGCGTGTTTGCACCATGTCTGGTCGTCGAAGTACGGCGATAACAGCAATACTTTTGAGGGTGAATGAAAAGGCTGAATATTTGAGTGGGAGCATCAACGTCCAAGTTTGAGGTCGTATTATTGTAATCCTTGAAAAGCGCGAGAGATATCATCAGCGCATCCTGGAGTGCCCGGAGGGCGGGTGTATGTGCATACATAGCACAAGGTTGCAGCGTAAGAGTATCCCACGCGCACCACAGTAGTCGTTGCACAGCGATGCTTGGTATTCATTCTCAACATTGCTGATTCGCCATTCTTACCTACTGGAAAATCGACAATCTCTGCTCTCCCAAGTGCTTCAGGTATCCCTATTATTGATGCCGACGTCCTCGCTCGTAAGGTCGTTGCTCCTGGCACCCGTGCACTCTCCAAGATAGTAGCGTATTTCGGACCTGATGTCATCCTTCCTGACGGTTTGCTCCACCGCAAGAAGCTCGATTCCATTGTCTTCAACAATGAGGCTAAACGGAAACAGTTGAACTCCGTCGTGCACCATGCTGTAACGCGCGCGATCCTGTGGGATATACTTGGGTACTAGATGCGAGGAGAACGTATGTGGGTCGTCGACGTTCCGCTTCTCATTGAGGGCGGTCTCTGGAGATGGATGGGCTGTATGGTCGCGGTGTATTGGTGGGTACCTCATACATTTTCCTTATGCCTCTTCACACATAGTGCACGCTGTATCCAGCTTCGCAGAGATTCAGATCCATCGTCTCACCGACCGCGAGAAATGCACTCGTGCCGAATCCGAAGCCCGACTCGGTTCTCAACTACCGATAACGTCCAAAATCGCCTATGCAGACATCGTCATTGATAATTCTGGATCGTATTCCGGGCTGGAGGACCAGGTTCGACTATGCTTGAACTGGTTGGAGCGCATGGTTGGTCGAACGTGGGTTGTTAGTCGGCTCTTCCCTCCTTTTGGGCTGTTGTCTGTTGCCTGGACACTCCTGGTACGTATAGTGTTGCACACTAAGCAGACGGGCGAGATAGGGGCCGAGGAACGGTAGATGAGAAGTGGACTGTCGTGGCTTTATGCTACTTACCAACAACGAGCCTAGTGTTTGTCAACATCAGCTTCCTGGAAGGCGGTTCCGGATTTTCCCCTCGTGTACCGATAATGAAGGGTAAGACCTGCGGTTGTTGGCGTGTCAGAGACTTGAAAAGTTTTCGTGCCGCAATTTAGACCTCCCCGTCCTGGTTTCCGAACAACCCACTCTTGGGTACCTTCCCAGAGTGTAGGCAGCAATGCCAGTGCTGAGTGGTCGCATTTGATCCCACGACTGTTGTGTGAAGTCGGAAGTAAAGGCATGTACCTGTCCGCCCTCACATGCACGAAGATCTGTCTAAATACTGTTACCAGATATCTATCCAACAATCTTCACTTTACCAGCCAATGGATATCTGTCCTCAAGTTATCCACGATGTGGGAATGTACAAGCCTCCGTGCAGCAGCCATATCTTGGTTGGATGGTAGCAGTGCGACTCTTGGCGATGTTGAGAAGGTTGCGCTCGCCATGCAATATGACATCAAGGGCTGGCTACTTCCTTCTCTTCTCGCACTGGCTCAAAGACACAATCCGATTAGTGTAGAGGAAGGTAGGCGTTTGGGTATTGAAACGGCACTGAAGTTGGCATCGGTGCGGGAGGGGCTTCGGCTGGAGAGACTGTATGCACTTCAACCATTTCGACCGTATAACGGTGGCGGGGAGGGTTCTAAACTTGTTGTCGGTGACAGGGACCCCACAGCTGCACGACTGGACTTCGCACCCATGATACAGAAGGTTTTCGAACTACAAGTGTAGGACTTCAGTGCATGTCATATAATAGATTTGAATGATAAACGAGGTGATTACGGGTCATCTGTGAGAGCCTCATTCCAGTGGTAGGTATTCCCTAACCATGCGCGCAAGTACGGACTGTATGACAAAATCGAAATGCTATTTGTTTGGTTCATTTTATGCTCGAAGATCGTGTAAGGCACAATACACGGAATTGTAATTGTTTCAGAGGGGCCACTTGTACAGGGAGTAGGTGGTTCATGCACGACAACTATGACAAAATTTGAGCACTTGGGCACCCCCTACCTAGGACACGACTACCATGAAAGGAACTGTACAACCCGTATCCTGCTCCTGCCCCTGGTATCTAAGGAAATAGATCTGATACACTCTCGAAGGTGACACTCTCGGGAACCTTTTCGAAAATACCGTGCTATAAGCACAAAAATCAAAACATTCCGTAAACAGCGCACGAAAGAGGACAGTGATACGCACATTGCGGTTAGTCCTTGCGTTGGGACTGTTTCCCCCACTTATCCTTACAGTATTGTTTAAACTCGTTGAGGGGTGCAATGGTCGGCTTCCAAGAAGTTCCAAATGCTTGCTTGAGCGTATCGAGGGTGAGCATGTATTGCGGCCTCGTAAGCGTTGTGGGGGCATAAAGGATGCTCTCGTGGAACACCATGCCTGGCTTGATCGCACCACCTTGCAAGCGTGTCTGAGGTTGAATGAATCGCTTCAAGTCGCCAACCAACTCCACATATCCATTGCCAGGTTAGGCCGCTCCCCATGGATCAGGCTGAGGCCGCACGATCTTCTAAACAAATGAGGTATCGATGTTGATGAAGGACTTGATTTCTCCCTAATCACAAGCCGTCCTACGTCAGGTGACTCCACAAAATCCTTGAGAATCATACGCACTACCATCCAGAACAATGCAAAGTCAGAGAGGTCGTGCTTCTCGTAACCTCCACCAACATCACAATGGGAACCGGGAAACCACACCTGCAGGACCCCCCGTATGTCAGATATTCGAAAAGAAGGAACGTTGACAAAGGCTGACGTCCCTGCTTGATGACTTGGTTGTCGCGCCAGCCGCCCTTCGGCATCTCCCAAAGGGTGGGCGAGAAACAGTCTCGATTTTCCTGCAGAGACAGCGCATGCAGTGTAATATCGATGCTGGCCGGAAGACTGGGATCTGTTATGCCGAGGGTATCTCTGATGGGAGTAAGGGGAAATTTATAGACAGCATCAACGGTGTCCCATACGCCCACGCATCTTCGAGGAAGCGAAATTGTATCAGCAACAACAGAGAGCAAGGTCTATGGCTGATTGAATGAAATTACTCACTTGATCCTGGTCTGACACGTGCCAGAAGATCTACTAAAGCTATTAAAAATTAAACCAGATAGCTTTCGAGCTACTTAGGCACCCCTAGTTAGGTTTGATAATTGTCAGCAGCGGTAACGACGAACATGACTTGCCTGGAAAATCTAGATGGCAAGGACTTGTGTGACGAAAGCGACTTCGTTTACAGCGGTTTGCGAAAATAATGTCAGTAGCAAAATATTTGTGAGCGCGTGGTGAGCTCTGCCCAATAAGGAAATGTACCAAGCTGGCATGCAAACACTAATATTGAGACTAATCACCGTGTCACCCTGACTCACCATGCCCCACCTCCGTATAAGCAGTGATCTCAAGGAGTGTGCCCTTCGTCTTTGGAACATTGGGTGGAACCTCAAGGACATCTCCTTTGCTCTTAGTATCTCTTCGTGTAGCTGTTATCACTGATGGCAAGTTCTGGAGGAGCATGGCTCTGTCGATTGCTCACATTCACTGCTGGGGGGTCATGCCCAAACAGTGACCAGAGCTCTCTTGACTTCTATCGAAACTCTTGTTTTCAAGGACCCTGATCTGTACCTCAATGAGCTATGCACCTGGTTGGCCATACAGCACAACATATCTTTCTGCACTGTGTTGCACTCTCAATGATACTGGTCTTTCTCACAAGGTATTGCAAAAGATCACACTTGAACAAGATGAAGTTTGCCATGCAGAGTTTCAGGACTACCTGCATACAAATTTCCCTCACTGCTGTTTGGCCATTGCCAGTAGTATGTAGACAAATGAAGGCGACAAAAGGTCACAACACACTCACAAATATTTTGCTATTGACATTATTTTTGCAAACTGCTGTAAGTCACATGGGGGTAGTCCATTCTTGTTGGAGTATTTCTTACAGTTGCTCAGGAAGAACTGGCTGAAGGTCTCTGTTCGAGGTAGACTGGGGAGCATACATCAGTATCTACAGTTTATATACATCCAGAGTGCAGTGGGAGACAAACAAGTAGCTAAAAGAGGGAGACATAAAGAAAGAGAAAGAAATGGAAAGCAGTAACTAAATTCTGAGGTGTTATCAGTTGTTTATGATCATGAACTGTTGCATTAAAGCCAGTTTGGAAACTGGTGTACAACCCATTGCCAACACATGTGTCAGTTAACATGCCCAGGATGCTCCATGAACTACAAGGCAGAGTTTCAACCTTCCTTCCAACTATACAATGATGATCACTTGTCAATATGATGACCTCAAACCCATTATTGCTCATATCGCTTCTGCTATGCTTTGCATTGTACATGTTGCTGGACTCCTTGTTCTTTTAGAATCAGATCAGGAGCCAGAAATAATGAGTAGTTACAAGTGGACTGATTCAGAGACTCACACTCTCCTCAACTACCTCATTGAACACCAGTCAGAACAAGGTGATACAGGCAACTTCAAATCCAGTGTATTTTCTAGTGCCACTGCTGTGATCACTCCACCTAACTCGCCCCCCACAAGAACTGCTCAGCAGATTCAAAATAAATGGCAATGGGTAAGTGCATCCTCCTCACACTGATAGCCTTGACTGATATCATTATTAGTTGAAAGGGATCTATAATTCCATCGAAGGCTTCATTCAATGCTCTGGGTCTGGCTCATGGGATGAACATTTTGGTGCCAATATCATCACACCAGCTGAAGAGAATGTATGGAATAGCTACATTGCAACCAATGTACATTGTCCCCTATTGTCATGGTTGTGTGTTCATCCTAGGTCCTCACTCACTCTGCACCCCTTTCTGCTGGTCATTCACTCACTAATGCACCAACTCTGCCCAACTTCTGTTGGTTGCGAGCCATTCTCCACTCCAGCTGCTGTCAGAGTTGCACTGCTCCCCTACCAGACTGAGCAGACCATTCTCTGAGGAGTCATGTGACTACCTTCAGACTCCTCCCTGACAGGTCACAGTCAGGTACTCTGCAGCATGTGCACTGCATGGTCCAGTGCCTGGACTGTTTCCTTTTCTGGATGTTCTATGTTACCTGTTCATATGCCCTCCATCTACCCTTCATTCATTGTCTAGGAAGTTTTACTTGAAAATTGCTGGGTCCCTGTATGTCAGTTCTGGTTCTGGTTACTGTACCTCTGTGGTAGTATAAAAGCATGTATCATACTCTGTTGTTCCTCAGTACAAATATCGATGTAGTTCCCACTCCCTCTGCCTCTGTCTTCCATCTATCAGAGTTACCTCTGACTGTCCATCTGTACTCCCCCTCTGAAATATGAGGGCTGAGATTGTGCAAGGGGGTAGTGCATGAGCTAAACCCAATGCCCTCACTTTGCTCTGCCCTTACCTCAGCAGATTTTGTTCCTGCCAACACTCCACCAGTTGGAGTTCTACTCTTTCTGTCAGACTTGCTCCTGAGCCTCTCCCTGGACCTCAACAAGTGTCAGAGTTGGTTGGAGTAGGCCTGGACTTGACAGTATATTCATACTCACACTTGTATGATCTCGTTTTCTGTCTTCCAAAAAACTTACACCATTATGAGAACTTGAGCTCAGTCCCAAAGAGAGGTCACTGAGAACCTTGCTGTTGCACTAGCTAATCCATGTCGACTCCCTTCCATCATCGAACAGTTCCAGTCATTCTCCGCTTGATGCTGTTCTCACACTGAAGGTGAACGCACTTTGCAGGCTGGTCACTCTGACCTCCATCCAACCACTTTCCATACTCTGTCTCCTTGAGACCGAGATGATGGACCTGACCCTGATGACCCTGATGGTGATCCTGATGGCAGGGGCAGCGGTGATGGGGATATCCCTGAAGACCTGGCTGAGCCACTGGAGGATCCCCTCGTGGCTCTTGCTAGAGCTGTCCATGCACTCGCGCAGTCTAGTTCATGCACTGGGGACTCTGCTCCAAAAACCAAAGTCCACAAGCCTGGCACTTTCAATGGCTCTGACCCTGAGAAACTCTGCAAGTTCCTTGTACAATGCAAGCTGAACTTCCAGGACTGCCCCTGCACATTCCACTCTGACAGAGTGAAGGTTACCTTCACTCAGTCTTATCTTAAGGGTATAGCCCTGGCTTGGTTCAAGCCAGACCTACTAAACCCCAACAATTATGACCACCTGCTCTGGATGGATGACTATCATGAGTTCTTACAAGAGCTCACAACTAATTTCAGTCCGCATGATGCCATAGCGGATGCTGTCCAACAACTCAAGAACCTTACTATGAAGGATGGCTCTTGAATTACCAAGTATGTCGTGGAGTTCAATTGCTGGGCTTCACAGGTCAAGGACTATGGTGTTGGTGCACTCCACCACTGCTTTTATAGCAGACTTCCAGACTGCATCAAGGATGAAATTGCTCACATAGGAAAACCTTCTACCCTTGCACAACTCCGTGAACTCGCTCAGACTGTCAATGTGCGCTACTGGGAGCATAAAGCAGAGATCTCATGCACCACCAAGTCTGCCACTGACAGGTCACAGCCTTCCAGCTCCAACAACAAGTCTAAATTGTTGTCCTCTGCCTCTGCTCTGAGGTCTGATGCCAAGGGCAAGGGCAGGCAAAAGGATCTGCCCAAGTCCAATATAGCCCATCTTCTGGGCAAGGATGGCAAACTCACCTCTGCTGAACACCAGCATAGGATGAAGAACAACCTCTGCCTCTTCTGTGGAGAGGCAGGCCACTCTGCTAAGGACTGTCCCAGGTCTACCTCTTGCGTGGCCAAAGCCCATGCAGCTATGGCTGGGACTCCGCCTCCTCTGCCTGTGGAGAAGGCAGAGCCAAAAAATTAGTCCACTCCTCCAGGGAGCTTGCACAGCCTGGAGGAAGTGTTGACCCCAACTGTGCACAACTGGACATCCGACTCAATGCATCTGCTCTCTCTAGTCCTGGTTCCTTGCTTCTGTCTGTAACTCTTCTTGGTTATTCTGTTGATGCTGTTTCTGCATTGATTGACTCTGGCTCTTCTCATTGTTTTGTAGACCCATCCATAATCAAAAAATATGCTGTTCCTGTTTCCTCTGTTTCCCCACCAGTTCTGCTCTGCTTGTTTGATGGTAGTACAAATGCTGTCATTTCCCAAGAGGTAGATCTATCCCTCTGCTTTCCTTCTGGCAATGTCAACTCTGTTTCATTTTATGTTACTCTGTTGGATTCTTCTTGTTCGCTGGTATTAGGACACAACTGGCCCACCCACTTCAATCTGTTGATTGACTGGGTACTGGGCAGTATATCATTTAAACCATCATTACAGGGAATGCTGACACGCCAGGTGCCTTTGTCACCTTCTGCTGCGACCTTCACTCCAGATCTGACACCCCCCACTGTGAGTCAAAGTGTGGTTCAGTGGTGAAAACCAACCAAAACCAACACAAAAGACAAAAAGAGCAAGTGGTGGTGTGCCTATGCAGTACCTAGATGGTAGAACCTGTTCTTTGGGAGGGTTTTTGTGAGCTACAACACTCAAAGATGAGTGCTGAGGGTTGGGGGTGCTTCTGATGAAGAAGAAGCAGGAATGTGAGAGAATGCGATAGGGTAGACTGCTGTCAGCCTACAGATGGATGGATGATGACTTAATTTGATGTCCTAAGCTGCACCAAGCTCAGGGAGGGCTTGGAGCAAAGTATATTGATGATAGACAAGGATAAGCAAAGTAGATGATAGTTAGACCCTTAATAAAGTCTCAACTATTGAAGCTGCTGAATGAATTACTGAGTGATGATAAAATGTGAGCAAGAGGGGCTCTCTGAAATCTCTTTTTTTTTTTTTGCTATCTAAGTACAGTGATTTATATACAGTACAGGGGTGTTGCCCTTGGAAAACAAGGTG